TTTTTGAATCAAACGCTCCCTCACAGAATTTGCATACGTGATTGAGTTGAGTTGAGTGTTGAGGTGAGCAAACAATGAATGGGGTTGTTGGAGCTGAGCGAGCTGAGGGTGGTTGATCATAGCTCTCTGCCATTGAAAATTCAACATGTACAGTTCAGTACATCACCTTATTACCTTCTGATCTATTAATTTGAAATGATATATATTAATTTTCCCTCATCAGTGCAAATATATATATAGATTATATTGATCTTCTTTGTCCTTCCATTGAATTCTCAATCCCCAGCTAGCTAGCTAGGTTGGGATTATTTTTTTCCCTGGACCAGCTAGTTAGGATAGCTAGCCACTTTTCTTTCCATTTTAATGATATATACATAATCTGCCTTCAAGATAGAAAAGATTTAAATTGAAGATCGAGTCCTGATACAAATCTTTCCATTATATTGATATCTTTTTAAATTACCCCAATCCTCATGACTGCATGCATTGATGACATCTTTAGCAGCAACTCCTTCAACTTTAACTCACTCTGCCCATGCAGCTCCGCCATCTCGATTCGATCTATATAATAAGAAAAGAAAACGTGATCATATTTAGGGTGTGTTTGCTCGTTCTAGTATTAGAATTGGATTGTAATGAGAATTAAATAATTCGTAATTATTTTTTTAAAAAACAATTAAAAATTAATTATTTTTAAATTAAAAAAAAAAAACTGCACTCCGGCCGGAGATGACCGTCTCCACGACCGGAGATGAAGAGTTTCTTCGTCTACGGCCATGGAGACGAAGCGTTTCTTCGTCTCCAGCCATGGAGAAGAAGAAACTTTTCATCTCCATGGCTGGGGACGGTCGTCTCCGGCCGGAGTCTTTTTTTTTTTTTTTTTTTTTTTAAATAATTAATTTGGAAGGATGAGTTGTTGGAAACCTTCGAATGGTTTGAAATTGGTTAGTTTAGGTACCCAATTATTGGTTTTTTTTTTAGGTTCAGTGGCCTAATTGAATTATCGTGTGCAGTTAGATATCCTATTTGACCCTTAATCTTTTTTTCTTACCCAACAAATTATTGTTTATATGTACGGATGATTATGGTTCGGTTCGAACAATTTTTTATTTTATTGCCAATTCAAAATTTATTTATTTATTATAAATTCTATTTCTTATTTTTAAAATAATACAAATTCAATAATTATTTTATTTTATTTTATTTCATTTTTTCGATTCTGAATGGTAAGTAAAAGAAATTAAAGTTGTGTTGTGCCTTCACAATTAGATATATTTGTTCTATATTTTCTTAAACATTTTTAACCCTAAGAATCTAAACTCCACTCCCAAGGTTCGGACCTATGACCATTTATTTGAAATGGCAATTGAATTGTCATCATATTACATGATAATTGGCTTAATCATATTATATATAATAATCATATAAAAACCAATTGCTGTTAAATCAAAGTAATTGTAGATTACTAGTATATATGTCCTCTAATGAAGGTGTGCATTCCTCAAAAAGAGAAATCAAATATAATCTTAGATATAAAATTACATTCCAAAATGTCATTGAAACGTAATGGATTGTCAACTTCAATATGACTGCGAAAGCCTAAGAAATCAATACTTTCCCCCACTTTTTTACTGAAATGAAGTTCGAAAGAGTAATATATAACACGTGTGATTGCAAATTAAAACAAACTCCCTTTGGCTTTGCTTACGATTCAGAACCGAAAAAATAAAATAATTATTAAATTTATTTTAAAAAAATAAGAAATAAAATTTATAATAAATAAATAAATGTTGCACGGGCAATAAAATAATAAAAAAAAATTGTTTGAACTAAATTGTGACCATCCATACATATAAATGGAGAAGAAAAAATAAATGAAATATTTAGTTTTAAGGGTAAAAATGTCTATCAAACATAAAAGGAATAAAACATGTCACTTTTAATATAACTAGGTGGTAAATGTGGATACATGAATAATTAGGAGGGAAAAGGTGTTAAAAGCATATACCTAAGGGGGAAAAAGTGTAATTTATAATAAATATTTGTTAAAAAAAATAATGTTTGACTAAAATTAATGAAGATGGTGCAAATAGCAATTTTCTATTTACATCACCTATAAAATTATCACACCTATTAAATAGGTTGTGTAAATAGTAATTAGGGTAATGCAAATAGAATTCCCCTTTTTTTATTTTTACTCCCTTATTTTTGATTATATATATAATTTAAAAGTAAAGGAGTAAAATAGTTATGGGTTTTGTAATTTTAAAAAGATCTGATTTCAAGACAAACATGATAATGGATATCAATAAGATGTAAAAGTCCCTAACCAAACACTACCTTATATTTATTGCTCTTCTTCCTCGATCATATAACAACATAGGAACGTTAAGATATTTATGGTTGTAATCCTTCATTGTTGCCTTGTTGGATGGATAGAGCCCATTGTTTAGGCAATTTATATCATGGATCAGGGTCCACATAGTATTATAAATTCTAGATTGAAACGACGAGGTACAGAACTTTATAGCATAAAATACACAAAATCACAACACAGGACACATAACATTATGGACCTTGGCTTGAAACGACGAGATACAGAATTTATACTCATAAGGTACAAAATGTCATAACATAAGACACAAAATATCATAACACAAGACACATTATATATTTACTTATGGGAAAATGACATTTTTTCCATTGAATTACGTAGTATATGTTTATAACACATTTTCTCCCTGAATTATTCATGTATTTACATTAGTCCTATCAATTATTTAAAAAGTGACGATTTTTCCCCATGATATATTAAAGAGTGAATTCCATTTTTGGTCCTACTGTTATAGTGGCGTTTCTAATTTTAGTCCACCTTAATTTTTTTTGCCACTTTATAACCACTATTATTGAATGTGTTCCACTTTTAGTCCCACAGTTAGTATTTCCATCAAGAGGCCGTGTAATCTAGGTGTATTTTAACCTTTCTTCTCATCCAAGATTATGTTTGACTAAAGAAATGAGAACATTAAACCTAAAACCTAAGAAACCTCGCCGGCCCATGTTGGAACGAACGAAACGATGTAGCTTTGGCTTCCCATTCTCGTTGTTCGAAGAGCCATCTTCAAATATCGGAGGAGGAGGACGAAGCACCTGGATTAAAAGAGAAGAGACAAACATAAAAAGACCAAAATACCCTTTGATTATATGGCCTCTTGACGGAAATATTAACGGTGGACTAAAAGTGGAACACATTCAATAACAGTGGTTGTAAAGTGGCAAAAAAAATTAAAGTGGACTGAAATTGGAAACGCCCCTATAACAGTAGGACCAAAAATGTAATTCACTCTATATTAAATGGATATTTCTATCCTTAAAGTAAACATTTTATTTTATTTATTTTTCTTTCTCCAACAAATTATTGATTATACGTAGGCATGCTCACAGTTTGGTTCAGTTAGTTTAAAAACTGGATCCTGAACCGTGAATCAGCGATTCAAATCAGATCATTAGCTTAAAATTAGAAGGAAAAATGTACAAATAGCTCATTGAACTACTTGGGAGATAGCAATTAAGCCACCGAACTCGAATAAGCTCCAAATTCATCCCTGAACCTAGAAAAAAGTACAATTAGCATTTTTAGCAGGTTAAGAACAAGTTTGTGTTGACATATGTATATTTTTATTATCCTACTAAGCATTTGACCCTCTTTGGATACCATTTTTTTTTTTATTTCTTGATGTGTCGGGTACTGTATTTAAAAATAATTTTTTAAATTTATTTTAATAATTTTATATAAAATAATTGTTATCAAAAAAAAATATCTAAAATAATTATTTTGAATTAATAATAATAATAATAATAAATAAAGCCTCCATGAATGGCCGGAGACGAGGCGGTCCCCACCACTTTGTCTCCAGTTGGCCAGGGAGAAGAAAGGGGACCCCTTCGTCTCCCGCTAGTCACAGAGATGAAGGGCCGGCCATGGAGACGAATGGATCCCCTTCGTCTCTGGCAGCGCTTTTTTTTTTGAAAAAAAAATTCAAAATAATTATTTTATTTATTTATTAACACAATTATTTTGTTTAAAATGATTAAAATAAATTTAAAAATTATTTATAAATACATTAGCCGACATGTTAGGAAATAAAATGAAAACATGACATCCAGAAATAGGGTCAAATGCTTGGTAGGATAATAAAAATAATAAAATATACACATGGCAACCCAAACATGTTGTTGAATTTGGAGCTTATTCGAGTTCGTTGCTGAATTGCTATCCCCAAATAGTTCAATGACCTAAAATTAGAATTACAATATGTCAATATTTACAAATAGTGCTATTTTCCCTTTACTTATTTTTCAAATCTGATTTAGATACATAATTTGTGTTCATAGACACAAAATTTCGCAACATAAGACATATAAGTTCGTAACATAAAACACAATTACTAATTTGTTCTAAATACAAAATTTATACTATTAAGATATATAAATTTCATAATTCAAGACAAAAAAAAAAACAGCTAATATTGCTGATAATGTTAATTGATTCGAGACAAATTAAAGTAACTAATATTGATGATAATGTTAATTGATTCGACTCAAATCTGATTGAGAATTCAACTAGGAGGTGGTAAATGAGGTGAGGAAGCCCCTAGTGATTTAACCCGACCATATGAAGTTAGGGAAGCTCGGTGAGTGGTGAAAGTCAGGATACACTAATGATAATACAACTATACAAGGGAGTCGTTCAATTTTCGGTCAAAAAAATTCAGCAGCAAAGGATATTGTTGATTTTCGTACAATGTAAAATGAACATTAGCACTTGGTGGATTGGAAATTTTAATGTTGAGGAGCTTTCTATCCAAAAAGTGGAGATCTACTCCTACATTTTTGCTTCAAATTGTTACTCCAATTATTAGATCAAAACGGGTGTCTGCCAATTTGCTCGCCAAGGTGAAGTTTAAAAAAAAAAAATAAAAAAAAAAAGTAGCAAAGAGAAACAATAACAAAATAGACCATAATATTCATGATTCAGTTACATACTAGATTAGATTGATTAGCGGAAATTACAGCAAGATTCAAAAAAAAAAAACAAAAAAAAAAAACAGAGAAGTGCTGACATTCCTAAAAACAAACCGTCGTGCTAAATACCCTATTATTTCAGGGTGCAACTCTAAATTTTCAACTCATCTCCTCCTATAAAATCATAACCACGAGCTTCAAATGTTTCAACCACATCGTTCTTCATATTTTTGGGGGAAAATGTAACGGAATACTCTATACCCGAAACAAGCCCGCACAGTACATTCTGTAGGCTCACAAACTCATAAGTTTCTCCTGCCTGCTCAACATTAAAGGAATTAGTAAGTAAAACAGAGAAAAAAAAAAAAAGAGTGGCATAATTTGTATGTATACATACATGGCTATTCTGGTAATCAGTTAAAGCCAATTTGCAGAGACGACGGATCACAGGACCCTCTTTTCTAAGCCCGTCAGATGAAATTTCACGTAGTACGTACTCCCACTAAAACCACAATATTCAAACAAATTAATCAAATGAGTGGATGAATTTGAAATGAGATGAGAGCAAATCGGAAGGGAGGCCAAATAAGTAGTACTGTAATAACAAAGGCATACCCCATCATCGCTCCAAACATCGTCTTCTTCATCCATATCATCAAACTCATCATCCAGTTTCGGATCCTTCGCCGTCGGATTGGAGACACCAGACCTGTTAGCAGCCATGGCTATTCCTCAAATCCAAACAAATACTCTACCCCTTTATTGAATTGAATTGCAGCCCATAGGTTAGGTTTTACTTATAGGCGGAGTCTTTGGAGTCTTTGCCGGGCAGGGCAAGCGGGCAGCCCAATTTTTACTTACTCCGTATTTTTTATGCTGTTTGTTTTGATTTCATCATCTAACAAAAGAGTGAATTATTATTTTTAGGGAAAATTGTAAAAAATGCACATCTATAATATGTCAATTATCAATGTCACCCTGAATTATGAGTGGTGTAAATGTTGCCCCTCAATTATCAAAATGATGAACATATAGTCCCTCTCGTAACGGACATGTGGTTTCACACCGTTGTCCATCGCTAGTACTTCAAATCGAGGGAGGAAAAAAAGAACTAAATTACATATTTACTCCGACTTAACGGTGTTGTACACTAACGGAGAACCACATGTCCGTTACGGGAGGGACTATATATGCACCGTTTTGATAATTGAGGGGCAACATTTACACCACTTATAATTCAGGAGTGCAATTGATAATTGGCATATTATAGAGAAGCATTTTTTACAATTTTCCCTTATTTTTATTATTCTCTTTCACACACTTCACTAGGGTCAGGGATGGGAATATGCTAGACCCCTTGTAGGGTCTATGTCCTGGCCTAATTAAGATTTAGTTAGGCTTAGCTCGTTTAGTAAAAAGGTTAGGCTTAAATCAATTCTAAAGCCTAAACTAAACAGGTTATGAGTTATATATATCAAGCTTGGCCTTTCAGGCATGTATATTTTATTTTATATCTAATATATTTTTATATTTACAATATAACCTCAAATATATATAATTATGACCAAACCTTAATCCTCCACCTCCAAAATCTCAATCTAAATTATGATTCAACTATAAACATTGCTGCTAATCCTACTATAAGTGTTCTTTTTTTTTTTTTTTTTTTTTTATTAATTGTTCTTACTATCATAATATTTAAGGCAATGTCGCAACTTAATTATGTGAGTTAATTGTTAATTATTTATGAGATTATATAGGATAACAATACAATTGAATTTATTTCTAAACAAGTTTACGAGCATGCTGAATTCGTGACTTGTTTTATTTTATTTTATATTTTAATGTTGTTTGCATTATGGTAATATACTTATGTAATTATGTATTAATTTTGCATTAGGTATATTTCTTAAATTATTTAGACATACTAAAGTTTTTAAAAAGTTTTAACATGTTGGTTTTAAATAGGCTCAAAATTTACATACTTTGAAACCTTTTTAATGACCTAAATATTAAACAGACTTTTAAAAAGGCTCCAGGACATGTTAGCCAATTGTAGGCTCAAACTTGAGTCTAACAAAAAACCTATATATAAGGTCAGGTCGAGGCCTAGACTTTTGATTTTCAATCGTTATGTTGCGCATCCGTATGCACCGTGCATGGTGCATACAGATGCAAAAATGATGTTGTTTTGACGTCTAATTTTAAAATAAAAATAAAAATCAGAACTGCATAACTACATATCCATAATTTCATAACTATACATCCAGAATTACATAACTACACATCCATAATTTCATAACTATAAATCCAGAATTGCATAACTACACATCCATAACTTCATAACTATACATCCAGAATTGCATAACTACACACCCATAACTTCATAACTATAAAATCCAGAATTGCATAACTACACCATGCATAATTACATATTCATAATTTCATAACTATTAAATCCAGAATTGCATACCTACACATCCATAATTTCATAACTAAAAATTCAGAATGAATGAACTAAAAAATGAACAACATAATGTTATTGCTGGGAATCAAAACTGATTTTTTTTTTATAAGTAGGACGCGCGTTTTGATGCAAAACGACGTCGTTTTTGTATTTGTATGCACCATGCATGGTGCATACGGATGCACAGCATAATTTGTCTATTGTAATAGTTCCACACCTAATTTTATTAAGCTTGGCTCGACTTGGCATATTTTCCCCTACACTTCACCATAAATTTACTCAATTGACAATTGGAGTCCATATATCATTTTTTTTTCTTAATGTATTTATAATATTTCCTTTTATCTACGACTCAAGCATCCAGGGATTAATAGCCATGATAACAAAGAAAACGAAATTGATTTTTCCTCATACAAAGTTGCTGGTATTGCTCTTTTAAAGGTAAACTAGGTTAACTAGCGTTGGATGGTTGTAATCCTCGGTTGTTGGATGGATAGAACCCATTTTTTAGGCAATTTATATTATGGACCAAGTTCCATGGCATTATAAACTCTAGAATGAAACAACAAAGTACAAAATTCATATTCGTAATGTCTAGAATTTTCATAACACATAATCACAACAAAGACACAGCATTATGAACCTTGGATTAAAACAAAAAAGTACAAAATTCATACTCGTAATTTACAGAATTTTTATAACATAAAATCATAACACAATATATATAGCATTATGGACCTTGGATTGAAACGACGAGGTACATAATTCATAATTGTAAGACACATAATTTCATAACACAAAATACAAAAAATCATAGCACAGACACATTATATATTTATTTATTTTTCAAATCCGATTTAGATACATAATTTGTGTTCATAGACACAAAATTTCACAACATAAACCACAATTACTAATTTGTTTCAAATACAAAAGAGTCAATACCATCTGGAGTCCTCCGAGTATAGTGATTTTGTCATGTTTGGTCCTAAACTTTTAAATTGACCACTTATGGTCATTCGACTTTCAAATTTTTACCATCCATGGTCCAAGTTAACCACCTATGGTCCTTTAACTATCAGGTTTTAACCACTCATGATCCTTCTAAGATATCGCGGCTGGTTAAATTTTGAAAGTTGAAGGACCATGAATGGTTAACTTGGACCACACGGATGGTAACAATTTGAAAGTCGAAGGATCACGAGTTGTCAATTTAAAAGTTTAAGACTAAACGTGACAAAATTACTATACTCGAATGACCCCATATAGCATTAACTCATAAAATTTATACTCTTAAGATACAAAATTTCATAATACAAAACAAATACACAAGGTACACATTGTAGTGGGAACCCTGATCTATGAAATAAGGATTGCATTTTTTATACCAACCTCATATTTGCACTTGGCTTTCATACTCCGAAGAGATATACATAAAACCATAAAATAATAGGGAGGCATGAAGACAAGACTTACTATACACGGTAGACAGTGCAAGGATCGGACTTCAGATCAATGTTCAGCGTTTAGGGTTTAAAATATCTATATCTATTGTAGTTTTTTGTTCAATTTTTTGTAAACCCCAACATCTACTTCATAATCTACTATCTCACTCAATCACAAAATTTTATTCTTTTTCATATTAGTTTGTGAACTTACCATTTTCTATACTATATTTTACTTATTTCTTTATTTATTTAAATTATGAAAATTAATTAAAATAAACATATTTACATTTAATTAAAATGATAATTCTAAACATTTAAATTAATTTTTGTTATTACTCTATTTATTTTAATAATTTTAATTTTAATTGTAATTAAATCATTCAAAAATATATATTACATAATTGAAATTTGTGAAAATTTTAAAATATAAATAATAAAATAATAAAAACAAACAAATTAAATGTTAAAAAAATTGTTGTGTTACTGCAAACAGATACGAATTTTTTTTTTTTTAAATAAGAAATATTGAAAGTGTCCGTCAGCTGGTGACCACTACCAGTAATACACGCACAAGATCAGCAGATTCTATAGATTTTCTCTCTTCCGGAGCTTACAAAAAACAATTACTCCAACTTCTCCTCTCTCTTCCAAATCATCACTCTCACTTTCAACTCATATTTAAAAAAGAAAATGAGAAAATCACTAGTGTGAATGCTCTTATCCTAAAGCTGCAAAAGTCATCAAATATAATTTTTACTTATTTTTTATTCTATTAATGCCGACACAAAGAGTTGCACATTATTTTTATTTTGTTTTATTTTTTTCTTATTAATAAAATTATCAGACGTGATCAAAGATTTACTTCATAGGAGTTTATAATCATTTTCCTTAGTATTTAAAATATTACTTTCTATCTACTCAAGCATCCAATAATTAATAGTCATGGTTCTTTCTATCTACTCAAGCATCCAGGGATTAATAGTCATGGTAACGAAGAAACCAAAATGAAATTTTCCCTCCGACAAATTAAAGTAGCTAATATTGTTGATAATGTTAATTGATTCAGGATATGATCGAGAATGCAACTAGGAGGTGGTAAATTGACTATTAAAATTTTTAATTTTAGTGTATCACTATTCAATTTGTATCACATTTAGTCCTTAACTATAAACATTTTTAAATTAGGTTCATGACTATTCAACTAATATCACATTTTGTCATGCCGTTAAATTTTTCGGTCAAAATTTCAATTATTTTTGTGTCTCTAGCAATCTCAAAGTTTCTTTTTTGATCCGATCAAATAATGAAAAAATCGTGACTTACATATTCTTAAGTACCCCTTGGCATGAAAACAAAAAAGGTTTGTGACGCTGAACTCAACTCCCGATAGATGAAAATCGGAAATACCTTTGAGTTCATACTCCTCCTCGATACATAATCGAATGTTTTTGTTTTGAAAAACAATAAAAAAAAAATTAAATATCAAATTCGAAGTGCCATGCTATTATTACTTAATATTATATTGACATTCATATATTCATATAACGAAGGCATAGTCTTTTTTTTTTGTCAAATAAAAACCTCATGGGCGCCAAGCGTGAGGGAATGCTGCACGTAGCGGCTAATAATCCTAAGTCACGGGTGAAGGGCTAATTTATTTAATTTTTATTTAAATAAATTTTATTTTATTTTATTTATAAATTTATTGATTTAAAATAAAAATTAAATAAATTAATCGATCACTTAGTCAGAATTTTGACCAAAAAATTTAACAATAGGACCAAATATGATACAAGTTGAATAATCATGCACCTAATTTGAAAATGTTAATAATCAAGGATCAAATATGATACAAATTGAATAGTTATGTATCAAAATTGAAAATTTTAATAGTCAAGGATTAAAACTGATACATATATTATAGTCGAGGGACTAAAAAGGATATTTTCTCCTTCAGGGCGCAACTCTCAATTTTCAACTCACCTTCTCCTATCAAATCAAAACCAAGAGCTTCAAATGTTTCAACCACATCGTTCTTCAGATTTTTGGCGCAAAATGTGACGGAATACGCCATACCCGCAACAGGCTCGCACAGTACCTTCTGTAGGCTCACAAACTCGTAAGTTTCTCCAGACTGTTAAAAATTAAAGGAATTAAGGACTGAGCCAAAGTAATTAATAAGTAATTATATATTAAAACAGAAAAAAAAAAACTGGCATAATTGTATGTATACATACCTGACTATTCTCGTAATGAGTAAGAGCCAATTTGCAGAGACGACGGATCACAGGGCCCTCTTTTTTAAGACCTTCAGATGAAATTTCTCGCATTACGTTCACCCACTAAGACCACAATATTCAAACAAATTAATGAAATTGGTGGATGGATTTGAAATGAGATGAGCAAATCGGGAGGGAGACCAAAAAAGTAGTACTATAATAACAAACGCCATACCGCATCATCATCACTCCAAACATCGTCTTCTTCATCCATCTCGTAATGCTCGCCATCCCGTTTCGGATCGGAGACACCAGACGTTTTAGCTGCCATGGCTATTCCTCAAATAATTGAATTGAATTGCAGCCCTGAGGTTTTACTTATAGGCAGAGTGTTTTCCGAGCAGCCCAATTTTTACTTAATTTTTACGATATTTGTTTTGATTTCATCTGACAAATGAGTGAATTATTATGGGATAAGGGTCAAATAGGCCCTCCAAGTACATACCAAAATTCAATTAGACCCTCGAACTAAAAAAACATTCAATTGAACCCTTATACTTGTTAAAAATGTGCAATTAACTAATTTGACCTATAATAACAAGTTACCTTCAAGTCACATGCCACATGGATGCCAAGTAAGATGACACATAGATTATTAATATTTTAAAACATTATTAAAATAATAAATCAAAATAATTGTATTTAAAAAAAAAAAAAAAAAAAAAAACACAGACTGCCATGGCTTCTTCGTCTTCTTCGTCCAGTTCCACATGGACGAAATAGCTTGCGGTTTTCTCCGTCCAGATTGGACGGAAAAACCCATCAGCTTCTCCGTCCGATAACAATACAGGCTGCGGTTGCTACTTTCTACTCGAGCTTGGCTGCTGCGTGGAGGTCACAGGTTGAAGCGGGTCTCGAGAAAGAAACTCCACGGATTGCCCGGAGCTAATTGGCTGCTGTTTTGGACTACCAAAGAATATTTGTTGTTGCTCTCTGCTGGAGTTGGGGAAGACATTAAACGCATTGGGCTGCTGCACAGAAGATACCGTGTTCGGGGCAGAAGGAACTGGGTCTGAGTTGAAGTTTAAGAGCAACGACCACACATTGACGACGAGGCAGAAAGCTTGATCGGCAAAGGAGAGCGTGTTCTTCTGGGGGGTTGAGCAGGAGAGCGAGGTGGCGATACTGATTGGCGATGAACTCGCAATCAAGGCTCTGGTTGGGAGCCACTTGGAGGATGCCGTACCAGTCCAAGTGGTGGTTGTTGATCCATTTCTCGCCGGCGAGGAGAGTGTCGACGATGGCTAGGAGTCCGAATCTCGGTCCAGGGTCGCAAACGATTTGCACCCTATTAGATCACGATTGTTCAATAGCTTCTCCGTGATTGACAGCCATCGGATTGCCTCCGCCCAGGGTTAATGAAGACCAGGTGCTCCATTTTCCGTCGGAATTTCGCGTTTTCCTCTTTGATTTACGGGAAGCTGGCAATTTTTTTTTTTTTTAATTTTAACTTATTTTTATTTTTAAATGGGATGCCAAACAATCAAAATTAACATGTTACCTGTTGGTAACCTGTTAAATATGTTAATTGCACAATTTTAATCAATTTAAGGGCTTAATTGAAGCTTTGTTTAGTTCGAGGGTCTAATTGAATTTTAACATATAGTTGGGGGGCTTATTTGACCCTTATCCCAATTATTATTGTTTTTATTATTCTCTTTCTCACACTTCACCATAAATTTACTGAATTAGAGTCCACATATCATTTTTTTCTTAATGTATTTATTTTTAATATTTCTTTAAATCTACGACTCAAGCATCCAAGGATTAATAGCCACTAGGTTTTAGTGATATGAGGAGTCTTTGGATCAAGGTACATGTTGCAACATACACCCAATATATACCAAATTTAGATAACTCGATAAAAAAATCAGTCACAGATAAAAATTTTAAGTTAATTATTTTTTAACTAAAATATTTCAGTTCAATTAATGATTAATTTTTTTTTTAATTTAAATTAAAAGTTAATTCAGTTTGAAAGTGACAATTAATTGGATTGCGTGTGTGTTTTTAAATTTGTTGTCATTCATAAATAATATTATTAAACTAATTTTTGCATCATTTATGTAATGTTATTAGGACTATTTTGTGATGTGAAACTATTAATTTATATAAATTCTATTTGTTAATTTTAAAAAATTTTAAATTTGACTAAGATATTTCAGTTAATTAAAAAAAACGATTTAGTTAATTGTTAAAACATTTTAGAAATTTTGGTAATTTGATTCGGATATTAACTAAATAAACATCCCTAAATTTCACAAGTTTTTTTTAGTCATTTACATCATATTTTTTTCTCATCCAGAATGTTTTAGTCACTTTTTTTTCAACTAAAAAAAGTGTAAGAATATGTTAAGACGGAAGGCAATAAGATAATTTTTTCCCCTTTTATATTTTGTTATTAATCCATTAATTTAATCATATATCAAAAAAGTCCGAAAATATCATTTAAGTGAAAACTAAAAAACTAATTAGGATGTAATCACAACCTGGAGGGTGTGGTTGAATGGAATGGCCTCATTCACGTTTAACCTTGATCTTTGATTTTGGAAATGGAGCAGTTTTAAATCTGTATTATTCAAGAATGGGCCCCACTCGACAACCAAGACTTATAAACACAATTATTTCCGTATTATTCGAAATCTAAGATTTTACAGAGTGGATGCATCCAAGACTTATAAACACAATTACTCTGTATTATTCGAAATCTGAGATTTTACAAAGGCCCACTCGACAACCAAGACTTATAAACACAATTACTTCCGTATTATTCGAAATCTGAGATTTTACAGAGTGGATTCATCCAAGACTTATAAACACAATTACTCAGTATTATTCGAAATCTGAGATTTTACAGAGTGGATTCATCATAATCTGTATTATTCAGGAATAGACCACACATGAACAACCAAAACTTATAAACACAATTACTCCGTATTATTCGAAATCTCAATAGGCCCCGCCCGACAACCAAGACTTATAAACACAATTACTCCGTATTATTTGAAATATGAGATTTTACAGAGTGGATTCATCATAATCCGTATTATTCAAGAATGGGCCCCACTTGACAACCAAACACAATTATTCCGTATTATTCTACATAAAAATTTGTACATGTAATAAAGCGTGAGAAAACTGAGATTTTATAGAGTGGATTCATCATAATCTGTATTATTCCATAATGGGCCCCACCCAACAACCAAGACTTATAAACACAATTACTCCATATTATTCTACATAGAAATTTGTACACCTAATAAAACGTGCGAAATTTGAGATTTTACAAATTGGATTCATCATAATCTGTGTTATTTAGGAATGAGCCCCACCCGACAACCAAGACTTATAAACTCCCCAGTTGAGCAAGCAACTCTGGTGTTTTTCTCGTATTTTAATTAGAGAAAGAGAGAGAGATGGCAGAGTTGAATGAAGGAGCTGCTGCTGAGGTAACATCAATCTTCATATATCCAATCAAATCTTGCCGTGGAATCTCCGTTTCTCAGGCACCCATCTCCCCCACTGGTACATAACTCATCACCCCCTCATTAAAGTTTCAATCTTTTTCCAATTTCACTTCATCTTGTGCTCTTGCTGTATATGAATATATATATATATAGAGAGAGAGAGAGAGAGGGAGGAAAAAAAAAAAAAAAAAAGCTTCAACTGAAGTTTCACATGTCTTGGTGTTATATTTGGCATGTTTCTGATTTTATTTTATTTTTTGGTTGCAATTTTTTGCTTGGAAAGATTTGTTGGAATTTTCCATTACACATTTAGGTTCTGTTTGAAAAATTAGAATCACAATGCTGGGCTGAGCCTTTGGCCAGGTGGAATTGAATTAATGTTGTTTAATCCATGTTTATTTGCTTCAAAGAAAATCCATTTTGATTCTTCTTGCATTGGAATCACTATTTCTTTCACTTAGTTAAGCAAAAAAGTTTGTATGAATTGAAATGGAAGGATATATGATTCTTCTTGTGTACCAAATGGAGTCTTAATTCTGTGGCTGAAAAGGGAAAGGTATTTCAGAATAGTTTCTTTAGAATTGGTATGAAGATGTAAATTAAACCAGAAAATATGGAGAGGGGGAGGGGCCAAACTTTCTGAATTTCTGCAAGAAAAAGTGGGAAATGCAGAAGGGTTTTGATGAATCTATGAGGGAAAACAGCAAAAGAATGGCAACACCAAGATTGCATGTTTACTTTATAATCATAATTTTTCGGGGTAACTCAAAATACTCGTTAAAGCAGCCTAACCTCCTAGCCCCGATTTCTTGGATAAAATGCAGCACCATTGTAGGGTGCTACATTGTTGTGAGTAATAAAAGGTTCGATTATAATCATGTAAGCTTAATAAAAGGTTCAATTTTGGCTTGGGTGAATTGTATATGCCTGTTTGGCACAACATGTTTCGAATGTTAATTCGATGAACTGGCTAGCTTCATGCTTTTCTCTTGTTTTTATTCTAACATCCTTAACAATGAACTGTCAATACACTATGTTGTTGCAACAAAAACAAAACATAATATTTGAAATCTTGAGCAGGATTTCGCTGGGATCGACAATGGATGGTTGTGAATTCCAAAGGCCGAGCCCGTACCCAAAGAGTTGATCCAAAGCTAGCTCTAGTTGAAACAGAATTGCCTAACGAGGCTATGTCTGAGGGCTGGGAACCAAATAAGAACTCGTATTTAGGTAATTCAGTCATTTCTTTTCTCCTCCTCTCATTAGAAGTGAAAGCTTGCACCATCCAAGAAGAGGGAGGATAATTGTTAGCGATTTTAGGTTTAAGAGGAGATGCAAACACTCCTTTATAAAAACCTCGAAATAACAATGGGTTCTCACTTGTACAGTTATAAGGGCGCCTGGTATGCAAGCTCTGAAAGTTCCGTTAACTAAGCCTTCTCTCACAACAGAGGGTATCTCGGTGTGGGAATGGTCTGGCTCCGCATTTGATGAGGGAGATGAAGCAGCAACGTGGTTCTCCAATTATCTTGGAAAACCCAATCGACTAGTGCGCTTTAATGAAGGTAGAGCTGAGTATGCACATCCTATGTATAGTATCTTTTGTTATTTGCCGTCTATAAATTTTGATCTAGTTTATTCTTTCTCACCGGGCAGCCTCAGAAACGAGGGTCGTAGACCCTGAATATGCCCGTGGATACAAGGTTAAATTTTCCGATGGATATCCATTTCTCATCCTATCCCAGGTTAGTCGGGTTACTATTCGATTGCAAGGAACCAATCCACCGAATAGATCACAATGTTTCGTGTTGCAGGGATCATTAAACACGTTAAATACCCTTCTCAAGGAGCCCATTCCAGTGAATCGTTTTAGACCCAAGTATATGCTTCTTGACCTCTTCTTTTATTTCTTTTGTGACACAAACTGCTATTTCATTGCCTAACTTCATCTTAGTGGTTATTTGGTTCCATGCTTGGAACATTTTTAACCCTGCAAATCTGCCATTTCTTAAAGTTGTGATATTTTCTTGTCCTCAGTATACTCGTTGATGGATGCCAGCAATATGCAGAGGATTTGTGGAAGGAGATCCTGATAAACAAGTCGACGTTTTATGGTGTTAAATTATGCAGTCGCTGCAAGGTAAAAACTATATTCTCCCTCGACAAATTTCCTGTGCCATAACATTACACTGTTACTTTTCTTAACCGGCTTATCGTATTAGATACCCACAATCAATCAAGAAACTGCAGAAATGGGGTCTGAACCAACTCAAACTCTCAAGCAGTTCCGTTCGGATCAAGTGTTGCTTCCAAATAAGAAACAACAGGGAAGTGTAAGCATCTATCTGGTACCTTGGAAACATTGGTTTAATGATATCTTCCCTACAACCTATTTGCTGCTAATCTAATTGTAATCACTTAATTTTCAATTTTCAGGTGTTTTTTGGGCAGAATATGGTTTGTGCTGACTCCCTTGGCCAGGTTAAGATAATCAAAGTTGGTGATCCTGTTCATGTCATCAAAGCAGTGCCCTCCTGCACTGAAGCAGCTGCTTGAACTCTTGCTTCTAGAATGATCTAGTTAATCTCTTCTTAATCTAAATTATGGAAATAAATCATAGTCTATCTATCTAGAGTATAACATACCATAATACCAATTATAATTATAATATCAATAACTATGGTTTATGATGCATGAAAACTTTCAAGTCTTAATGTTTTCATGTTTCAGAGATCATTTCTCTACTGTTGTGTATCTTGTTTCTCTGTTTCTATGATACCTACGATTGTCTGCCAATAAGACTCGATTTCTTCTATGTTATTGTCATATTCGATTAATAAGATTTAACTTTATCACAACAGTAATATCAAGACATATTCTAGCTTTGAAACAAAATTTCTTGTATATACAACTTATGAGAAGGATAAAAGAAATGGTTGTTCTTGGACTACAGGAGAAGATAATGAAACAAAACTAAAGTTACCATAGTTCCAAAAAAAAAAAAAGGATGTTCAACTTGCAAGCATTTGAAATGGGCAAAACTATACTATAGCAGCTGATTTTATTTGCAATTTGGATCAAAACTCACTCTTGTATTGGCTCCATATGTCCTCGTCTTCCTCATCCTCCTCAACCACAGAACTGTTAACTTGTGTAACATCTTGCTCCACATCCTGGACCTCTGCTTCCTCGTTATGCTCCGAGTTTGGTTCTTCCTTCTGCCCCTGACAAAATGCAGCAAAGGGGTGAATCTAGGCATCGCTCAAAGAGACAATCCTTAGAAATATACCAAATGTTTAGTTACTACTGAGTGTGACGAATTGCATGTTAAAAACTAACTTAGGTGATCCAAAGAAATTTCCTACATGCTGCAGGTGATATGAAAATATAAAAACATGTAAAATGACCAAAAGATAAGGTTCTCTTTGAAGTCACCTCAACCTCTTCGCCAGTCAAGTCAATTGACTCATCTATGCCGTCATCATTTTGGACTTCCTCTGCTGCAATTTGCCTCAAGTGTGCAATCACTTGCTCAAAGCGGGAATGATCTAAAAGATAATGTTTATTGTCAATTGTCATGTAAAACTTGTAAAAGTTAATTCTATAACAATCTGATTAACATTTACCTTTGGAACGATTAGTTAGAGCATCATGAACTCTTGATGGATGTCGCCGCTCTTCTTTCTTATACTTCAGTCTTATCTGAGCGCGTGTCCGGCCCGGAAAGAGTTGTTGTATCATGGAAAAGTCTGAGCCAAATTGCCGAATGGCCTACAGATGAAACAAATGCCAAACTCGCATTGGTCAAATAATTGGAAAGTTCTCTTTCAGATACATTATAACAATCATATAACATAAATGGCTCTATTATCTCCAACTATTTGAACAGATGCAAAGTAGAGTGATGTACCTCATAGAACACTTCTGTGTCCTCTTTTGACCATCGGACTCGGGGTGTTTTTTCCATGTAAGTTTGATAATTAAAGTAGACGGTACTATCTTCCACCTCATTAGTTGTTTGTTCCTCAAACGCTTCTCCATTTTCATTTTCATCTTCATCAAAAGTAAACCTCTCCTCTTCATTGTTCAATTCAGAAGAGTTATCAACATTGCTGAAATCAAATTTTACTATCAGAATCATGTTATCTAAACCAATTTAAAAGCAAAGAATCTAAAAGCACAACAGAACTGGATCTTGGTTCAGAAGGGGAATGACACATTACAATAACACTTAACACCACATAAAATACCTTGGGTTTACTTGTGGTTGTGGGTTCTGTAATGCTGCCTCCTTTTTCTGCATGGAAGAAACAACAATTTTTAGGTGGGGAACTAGAATCTTTATCCATCTCAATGTCCAAAAATGAATTGACAAAAATCTTGCTTTTTCAACCAGGGAGAGAGTTTCTCGAATAACCATCAGTTGATTTAGAAAAAGCAAAGCAAAAATGCCAAGAAGCAGAAATAAAAATATTGTACCGCCAACCGCTCCTTGTGCTCTGCAAGCAAAATTAGATCCTTGATTCGCACTCTTTGGAAGTCGATCTCATCCTCGGGAGTATCCAATAAAGCCTTGTCCACTGCAAAACTAAAGAATTTTTCTAAACAAAGTACTCATCAAATTTAACCTACCCTCCACACTCACAAAATTCAACTATAACCTTACCCATCCTTCTCTTCTGCCGAGTTGTGTGAGAAAACTTTTTAGGTTTCTCTTTAGTTGCCTGCTCAGTTTTATCTGCTTTTTTACGCTTTCTAGCAGGCTTTTCTTCACCACCAGCCTTTTTCTTTGCCTTTTTTCGTCCTTTTTTCTTTTGGGTTTCATTTTCCACCTGAAACTCTGCATCAATATTTTCATCCGCATTTATACCAGAGCTGCCAGGCTGTTCAGCTGGAAAATTCACATCAACATTTGGCATTTCCTCATTAACCGGAACTTCAGGTGTAGATTCTGTGGGGGGAGCATGATCAAATCCTAAAGATGACAAATCAAGAACATCATCGGAAAGTGCAGGAAGTCTTTCTTTATCCACAAAGTCAGTAGACAGTGACTCTTGTGCACAGGAATTAGGAATGCCAGTATCACAGCTCTCTTTGAACACATGTGCTTTGGGCTTGGGTTGGAATTTTCCAGTATGCCGCCCTAAACAAAAAACATTTGATTAGAAACCTGCAGTAAATTTTGACTTACTGATAAAATGAAAAGCCTAAGAAGTCATTCTACCAGATATAGTAGCTAGCTCAGGCCCATCTGGAGTTTCCAAGCAAGGATATGTCTCAATTCCCTGCAACCAAAAATATTCAAGTTATAATTGTTAAAGAGTGAAAAAATTAAGGAAACGGCTAGAAATTCTTACTTCCCAGGGATATGGATAATCACCTCTATTTCCAGGTCTATACTATCAATCTGCGAGACCCCCTCATGAGTAGCAACAACAGGTTCTCCACAAGTCAATGGACCTTGAGCAGCAGATACTTCAGAATTCTGAGCACCGGGGATATTTGATACAGGAGTTGGATCATCAACAGGTGAAGTAGTTGTAATAGCAAGTTGCTCCTCAGATGATGGAATGGTAGTCTCTGCAGAATTATTTGAAGAGCAAAACTATGTCAGCAGAAGACAACCTACTTCCAACATTAGCTGCTAATATGATACAATAAGACTGAGAGACACTTAGAGTTTTAGTATCTAAAGTTTGACACTTGTGTCACTTTATTCCTTAAAGTTTGCAGATACATATAACCCTAAAATTTAGCTTGTGTGATATAAGATGTCCCAAAAATAGCTCCTGTTAGCTTTTAACAAACAACCTTCACCGACTTCAGCAGAAAATGGAGAAAACATTCTTCTTTCTCCATTTGAACAGAAAATGAACAAAACCATTAAAGTGTTAAACAGAAATTAATTTTAAAAACAAAACAAAAAAAATAAAGAAAACTTGTCAAATCACCATTGGAACCTTTGCCTGACACTTTCTTCTATATTTTCTACTCTCCCTGTTTAGAGAATGGGAGAAGTATGTCTTATGATCTTCTGGTAAGCCACCCAAGTAACTGTTTGGGAGAGAAAATAATAAGAATGTATCCATTTGTCTGCAAAAGTCATGTGGAAATACAGGCTATAGTAATTTTAATTCGGATGAAAGGTTTCTTCCTTCCTCGAAAATTAGATGGAGTTATTTCATGGAACAATTTATGTCACAAAAAGCTACTCCGTAATATTTATAGTCATATGATTCATCCAATAACTTTTCAGAAGTAAAGAAATATAATTTAATTTTCCACCAATAAGAGCTAACTCTAAAGGTAATTGAAAGAAAAAATCCCATAAGTAATTAAGGCAAATGATTCCTCACCCGTAGCATTCGTATCATGCGGAAGAAAATCATCAAGTGATTCCAACTCAGGAAATAAATCAGCACTCTGAAAGTTTAAAAAATAATAATAATAAAAGCCAATGCACCAAGCCAGTAACATGATCAAGGGAGAAAAAGTTCACCTCTCCTACTGATTTCTCTAAGCAACATTGCAAGTCTCTATTGTTTTCAGGAACAATAAGTTCACTTGAGCCATCTGTAAAGACATATCAATCAGTAAAAAAAATGACAAAACAAAGGGATTTAAAAAGCACCACATTGTGTTCATTTCAGGCTGAGTAATATATTTGAACTGAAAATTTAGCATGTTTTTTCAATGCTGAAAAGATGAGAACTTTATTGAAAATAAATACAAAGTATGAAACTTTATGTCCAAAAACAAAAACACACATTAAGAAAAAACTAACCTTTTGTGGATAACTGTCCAGCCTTGAGAACCTCAGTCCCTTCACGTTTATCAGCACCACCCAACTGGTTAGATTGTGATGGAGGAGCAGAAGAAGTGGCCGCGGCGACGGGTCCTTTTTTTACGGGACGGCCCTTTGCCTTAGGTTGAAATTTACCAACTGCCCTTGCTGCAATCAAACACATCAAAACACATTACTACTCAACCTGAATTGTAAAACTGAATGTGAAAAAAAAAAATAAAAAAATAAAAAATAAAAAAATAAAAATCTTTGAATACTAACAAGTCTTAGCTGCACCATCGGAAAATAAGTCATCTAAAGAATCCATCTAAGCTTTCCTGAACCAAAACAATTAACGCGGTGTTAAAGGGTTTTTGACTGAAATTTTCTCCGCTTTGTAAATATTCCAAACTGAAGTGTGGATTCATCAATTGCGATGGTGCATTCTAGCCTTAAATCCTTACTAAAATTTCCGATTGCGACCCGCGACGTTGCTATTTCATCGCTGAATTCTTCCTTCTGCTGGCACCACTGTAGCCGCCTGCTCAATCTTTTGGACTCACAAACAAAGCAAAACCGACGAGTTCAAGGAATTAAGGATAATGCGACAGAAAAACAGCCCCACCCCCAAAAAATACAACGTGTAAATCATTCATTGCCCAAACAAAATACAAAAAAGGCGATCCCCAAAGAAGCAACGTGTCTATTAGCATGGCGTTTTTTTGCAGAAATTACCACAGTTTATATAGAACCCTAAATCCCTAATTTTGGTATGCTCAAATTTAATACCTCAATTTTTAGCCGTTGAGGACTAATGGGCGGTGCGAACGGCTACTCTTGAGAATCCAATCCTTTGCTATGACTCGGCGGTATGGGCGAGACAGTCAGGAAGCTGCGTCGTTGAGTTCGCCTCCGGCTTCGACTTTGAAGAACAGAGAAAATGGAATGTTTTTTTTTTTCTTTTAAATATATATATCACGGGCCTCTCTTTGAAATGGGCTTAGCAATTTAATCTTCACAGGCTTGATCTTAAGTTATAAGAGGGCCCATCAATACACTTAATTAAAATAAATAAATAAGATAATAGTATGTGTATTGACTCTTTGTGCTTCAATGGAAGTAGTTATGAACAGATGCTACATTTTAAGAGAGTCAGTAGCACATATATAATTATATAAAAATAATAATTAAATATGATACATATAATAAGTTCATATAAAATATATATTTTATAATAATTAGAATTAAAATGACAAAATTTGTAAATATCTATGGTAATCATAGATAACTCAAGAATTGTAAGGAAATCATAATCCTTTCAAAATTCTATGTAAATGGTATATTGCATTTCTTAAAGAATATTATATTCCCTTGAAAAAGTAAGATAACATGAACCAATATTAGGAATGTAAACTTTGAAATATCACATTTTCTTGATTATGTTGTATAACTTGAACCAAAAACTCGGTATGATTAGAAATGTAAATAGTCATAACATTCAACTTACATTACAAATTCTTACAAGAGTAATGCTAAAAGAGTAAACATTAGAAAGTAACATTTTGGTGTATGAGGAACAAAATTGGATTAAAATCATACAGGCTGATTATTCCCTCATAATCATTACAAAATTTTGTAAAAAAGAAAAGAATAAGAAATTATACAGAAAACAATTTTGGAATTCAGCCTAAAAGTTTTAGTTGGTCTTGGCACTCTTCCTTGAGGCTCTCCCACCACCACTCTTGCCTCTCTTCCGTTTCTGTTCACCATGCTTATGCTCCTCACCTCTTTCATGAGGATTCAAATCCTCAAATTTAATAGGTTTTATGATCACACCAGCTTTCTTCACCACCTGTGGGAAATAAAGACGAGGAAAGTAGTTATGTATATAACACCCTTGACAAGAATGAAAGGAAAACGAAGCTTGTATGAAAGGAGAAAAGTGGCGTGTTTGAGAATTATACCTCTGGACGATTAAGAGCTCCGATTGCTGTTACAGGGTTGAACTCTGGTCCGATGGGCATCCGAATGCTCTGTTCAAATACTTCTGTGGATGTGTAGGGGTAAGGCAATGTCTTGGTATGTAGTTTTTCAGCCTGACAGAACATAAAGACATTCATTGAATAGAGAATACTTGTAGAAGCCAGTCTAAATATATCTACCACCAATTTCCACGGATCGAAATCTTCTATGGAATAAAATACTGAATAGTTGGGGAAGTTTGAAAATAAGAGAATGAAATGCATTATTGAGAAAGACCTTTTTATCCCACTTCTCGTAGATTATAACATGATTAAGACGGGCATCCTTCCTCTTCTTGAGGGCTTCTTCCCTTTTAATTCTCGCATTCTCATGTTGCTCAAGCATCCAAGAGGGTGGACCTTTCTTTTTCTGTATATTCGTCCATTGACCCCAGCCAGGAAGTAAAGCTGGCTTTTCAGGTTCTGGATTTTCATCGTTCAAGATATCCTGTTTTTCTTTCTCAAAGACTTCTTCAACATCGTCGCCTGCAAAAGCACGCCGGATAAGTTCTTCCTGAGATGGGAGTTCATAACTTGACTTAACCCCAGAAGACAACATCCCATCAATCATTTGTCCTCCACTATCTGAATCACTGACATCATCCATTTCCTACATGTAAGACAGTTCAAAGAAATGAAGAAACAATCCCACAATAATATTTTACAATCTAAATCACACAAGGCACATGTCAAACACAAAAAGGATATTTACCTCTGCATCACTGTCATGCACTTCAGCAACAGAGGCACTCTCGGTGATTCTCTTCTCATTATTATCTGATAAGTGTTTCATCTGCTAAGAATCCGGAAAAAGTGGTCGCTGTGAGTGCTAATGTTTGTTTAAAAAATAACAAAAATCTAAGCAAATTAAGGCAACAAGGTTGACCTTTTTCTTTTCCTTAGGTGCCATAATAGCAACTTCATATGTTGTCTTGGGCCCAGGGTCTTTAGCAATGTCCTCAAAACTCTGAGAGCTCATAAAAGTTAAAATTAACATCACCCCTCAAATAAATAATACAAATGACCAACATAAAAAAGATTATATCACTATCCTGCACGTATCAGAAATCCAATCACCTTAAAAATGGAATAATGATCAATCTCAGACTCTTCGCGAAGTACATTAGGATCAAAAGAAACTTCCACTTGAGAAGTCTTATTTTTGCCAAACCCCTCATCTTGTGCTTCTTCAGCATCCACGCCTTCACTATCACTGTCACCATAATAATTGTCTGACTTCGTCTTAGCACTAGACGGTTGAACCTGTTTCTTGGAAGCCCCAAAGACCCTCCTACCACTCAACACATTCTTTTCTTGAGTTTCAGCAACATTTTTGTCCTTCAACTCATTCAGTGATACTTCATACTGCTGAAGAGCAACCTTTGCTTCTTCATCAGCTTCCTCCTTCCTCTTTTTTAAGCTGCGGGCCTACCCCAATGAAATCAATATAATGATAAGTTAAACCTATAGTCCAAAGTGATATTTGCACGATGGCAAGGGGCCAACCACAAAAAGTTAAAGAAGATAGAAAAAATGTACAAAAAAACCTACCATAAAAGGTAAAGACAACACTCCTGTAGTAGGCAATTCTTCATCCTCTTCAAGTACTTTAAGTGTCTTGTCCTTGGCTTTATTCAACAATTTAGTCGCAACATCCCCATCCGAATCAGCTGAAATCTCATCAATGTCATCTTCATCACTGCTCTCGTCACTACTAGCACCCTCTTTCATAGAGTTCATCTTCCTAGTTAAAAGAGCATGTTGATTCAGTTGCTCAGCCAAAGCAGCACGAGTTCCTTCATCTTGGACATCCAAACCACGTTTTAAGATGCGTTGTGCCCATTTGGATTTATTCTTGTGTTTCAAAGTCATCCGTTCCTGCATAAAGTTAAAATTCGAAAAAAGCATTTTGAGCCCCAAAAATCAAGACCAAAATGATGTCCTCCATGACAAGTAACAAAAGTCACCTCAGCCCTTTTGAATTCTTGTTTCATTGCCAATTCTTTAGCAGCTTCAGGATCTGTTTCAGCAAAAGTTGTTGCTTTCAATCTGTCTTTCTTCAACAATCGGTGATATGTTTTGGACTTTATATTTTTAAGTCGTTTTGCTTTCATTTCATGGCGAAAAAGAAGGCTGCGCATTTTAGCTAGTTGATTTTGGCGGTCCTTTACATCTTCAATGCTTATCTGTCAAATAAAATAACACAGGGTTTCTATATTTGCTTACTTTTCTTACACAGGGTTATAAAATAGAAGTAGAGAATTGAAAACCATAAAAGGATCTATAACCAACACCCATACCTCATTTAGTTCAAGAAGTCTTGCACCATCTTTTCTATGAGCATCCACTATTTCACTATCACCAACCAAAGAAGCAATTTTCTTTTCAAATTCTGTTCTTGGTTCAAATTCAGCAGCTAATGCACCTACAGTAGAAAATCCCAAGTCTATATCTTCATCAAAATAGATAGTTGATGCTTCTCTGTTTCTCTTGACCAATGGTTCCCACTTTGTAATATCCTTTTTGGATTGTTCATAAGCAGCTTTTCGTTCCAATCTCTCTTGATCTGGTCTAGGGAGAGGTGCATTAATGGACATGGACTTGTTCTCCATTCTTTGTATGTTCTTCCTAAGTTTGCTGAAGCCTGACTTCCCCTGGAGTGGGTCCAGAAGATCTTGAATACTAATGCGGCCATCACCCTCCAGAATATCCCGACTGGGATTATATTCGGACTCTGGATATGCCTCAGATACTATAGCATCACTTCTCTTCTTCTTACCTAACAAAATTTCATATTTTCAATGTCAACTGATTTAAGTCTCTTATATGAAACAAGGCTTAATTTTGGATCAAAATAGTTAATGCAAATTTTGAAGCTAAAAATATTACCTACAAAAGCATCACCGGGCAGGCCAGTTATTTCCTGCAACATCCGTGAATGTCTTTCATCAGCATCCTCCTCAAAATCATCTCTGTCTTGATTATTTTCATCATCTTCATAGTCTTCATCCTCAGATGTCACATTCTCATCCTACATAGAACAGAAAACTCAATGACTAAATAATTCAGGCAGCTCATAGCAGCAAAATTCCAGGCCAAAATGGCTGGTATCAGTAACAATAACTAAATTTGAAACAATCAAATCAGTAAGATACCTTGAAGTCTTCAGGAAGCTCATGTAGCTCACTTAGGTAATTCTTCACAGGATCATATCGTTTGTTCTTCTTAGATTCCTCCTGGGCAACACCTTGTTCGTACTCGTACACATCACCGGCGGCGACATCAGAGTCGGAAGCATCAGAGTCCGGCGCGTCTTGAAGAGCAATCTGCTTTCGGAGAACATTGGGCAAGCCAGGCCCGCGCCTTCTCTTTCCCCTCTCGTCTTTGTTAGAATCCTTCCCACGACTGAACTTCCTCCTCTTGCCTCTGCCTCCATTGGCTCCCTCCTTGCCTCTGCTCTTCAAATCCGCCATGCTTTCCTCTTCCGGAGAGCTTTTCGCGCCTGTTCTCAGTTCTTTTGTTAGGTTTACGGAAGAAGATTATTTTGGGCCGGACGTGGATATATCAATTGTTGGGCTAATAATAAAGGAAGCAAAAAATGTTAAAAGAAATCATTTGAGTTTAATTGGTCCGACCAATCTAAAGTCTTATTTCAGTCACTAAAACTCCCATCTAGTTTTAGGATGCATTTCTTTCTCTCTTTTTTAACAAAAATAATTTCAACAATTTTTTAAATGATAGTGACTCTATTATAATATCTGTTGCACAAAGAGCCAATAACGCAGGTTCGAACTCACAATCTCCTATATAGGAGTCCAACCAGAGTGCCATCTGTAATAAGTGCTTGGCTAATTTCAACAATTTTTTAGAATGCGATTTTGCTTCAGAATTCATAAAAATACAAATAAACCAGCAAATATTTAGTGGTTTCTGGCGGAAACCAGAGTTGCTCTAGTTTATTAATGGAAATAAGTAATATTGGTTTTCACACATAAACCAAGGTTGTGAGTGATTGTTGTCGTTTTTGGTATGTGAAAAATGACTTCCACCAATATTTAAAAGAATCGTTTTCCTTCAAAACAGTCATATTTTCTTCCGTCAATATAAATAATTTCTATTGGCTTGATTTTTCAGAAACATTCGAACATTGAAAACTCAAAAAATAATTTTCAAAATTATTTTTTGAAATTTTAAAGACACTTTAGATGTATATTTTAAGTGAAACTCGTATTATACCTTTAATTGACAAATAAAATTATAAATAAATTTAAGTTATCAATATGCAATAGACTCAAATTGATGAGCCCAACCCATAACTTAACATAGAATTTATGGATTTTCATTTGTTCATTTGCTTTTTCGATGATTGGGCATTTGGGCTAGCAAGTAGCAACACTATGTTTTATTTGCTTAACACGAATGGTTCATTGGCCCAATCCGACATATTAATATATGGTCAACGTGGGAATCCTCGTTTATTGGAGTTTGACTGGCTTGGTTTTCGTGCCTATTAATTTTATACTATATACTCCATATTTACAACGTCAATATATTATTATATTATATAAAGATACAAATTTATTTAGTGCACAAATCAAATAGTAGTTACTCCATCGTTATTGTCATTCAAAAACATGATTTAAGTAGCATTTTTTCAATAATATACAACGAATTAATTAACTTGTGAATATTAAATTATACAGAATAAATTTAATCATAAACCTAAACTCTTATATATGTATCAATATCTTTAAAAGAGATGGAGTTAAAAGTGGACTAGATTAGTCTTATATAATATATATATATACATTTATAACAAAAAAATGTAATGAAATTATGTAATTTGTAATAGTTTCAAATCAAATCAAATTATATATAAAGATGGATTAAAAGTTGGTTAGAATATTGATTTATTTCTATTTATATATTTTTAACTTTTTTATTGGTGAGAGGGCGGGAGAGAAATTCCTACTTTTATCTTGTACGCACAATTACAAAAAGCTTGAGTATCTCACTATCTTGTATAACTCGTGCGCGCTCTTCCTCTCATAGATCTCGATCTCGGCATTAATTGCTCTCTCTAAATCTCTGCTTGCAGTTCAATACAGGTAGATTAACACTCTCTAATAGATATTCCCAGCAAATTGGTATTCTGCACATGTTTGAATATGCGATTTCTTTTCCTGCTTAGATTTAAAGCTGATTAATTTATTGAAATTTCATTTATGGCAAGCTTGGTTATTTTGGGAACTAAGAAAATTTTCAGTATCTTCAAAAATTGTTCAGCTACTTATATATGTAGGTGATATTTTCTGCTTAGACTTGATGCTGGATATTTTATTGATTGTTTAAAAACTTCATTTCTGGCAAATCTGTTTCATTTTTGCTTGTTTGGAACTTTGAATTGATTTCAATTATATGTATGTGTATATAGCTGTGAGTTTGTAGAAGGGAGAGGAAATGGGGTACATAGGAGCTCATGGAGTGGCGGCGCTGCATAGGTACAAGTACAGTGGAGAAGATCACTCTTATGTAGCAAAGTATATCCTGCAGCCCTTCTGGAGACGATGTGTTAACTTCTTCCCTCTTTGGATGCCGTGAGTATATGCATTTCTAGTTTGCTTTCTCTTTTATTTTATTATATTTATGGTTTATTGATACATATATGCTCAAAAGGTAATCTTTCATGTAGTAAAAATTCTAGAATTGGGGTTTTCCCCTTTGCTTGTGAGCTAATATGGCCATATGAAGTATCAGTCTCTATAGTTGAGAATTAGTAAAATGGAATTAGTATTGGGATTTGGGAACTCTCTTCTGGTAAAAGATGGCCTTTCGCTTTTTCTCGAAGCAAATCCTCTTCCAATTTGAAACAATAGCCATACCTGGGGGGAGTGTAAACATTTCCGAGGAAACACTGATGTGGGAAAACATTGTACAGTATTTTATTCATTGCTATTTTCCAACATTAACTAACTGTTCTCTCTTTTTCTTTTGTGTTTGTGCATGTACTTGTACCTGACTAGACCCAATATGGTAAACACTCCCTATATTTCATCCTTGATTGTTCAAGTATTACTTTAATATTTGCATTGACTTATTACTTTTTTCAGATTACACTCACTGGGTTCATGTTTTTGGTCACTTCTGCATTACTCGGATATGTATGTAAGCTGGACTCTCTCATCCCCTCCCCCCTAAACAAAAGTTTAAATCTTTATGGTCTGTACTACAGTACTAGTTGTTAGTAATAGTTTTATATCTTCTAGATAAGATTATAGCTGCTAAAAGCTTATTTTTGTAGAATTATTTGTCTATCTTTCCTCTAACACTTTAGCACATTGTACACTTGAAATTCTGTACATACCATCCCATGCATTGTTGATTTCATTTTAGGGAGAAAAGTATGGGAAAACAGCAGGCTAATGTGTCAAAAATTAGGGAAATGAAAGAAAAATATGGCTGACAAAGATGTGCCCATACTGTGAATTCTTCTGTTATATGAGCAAGACTGGTCTCAAACTATTTATAATTTTATACATTGAATTGCTTGATCATATTATGGTTATTAGAGCTACTTGATTCATCGAAGAGGATGTAAGATCTCTGGTTTCATAATCTAGTGAGTAGTAGAGGTGCACGGGTTTTTAAACTTGCAAATGGCAAGTAGTATAGGTACTTTCCTTTGCTTGCTTCTGGCCCATAATTTATTAGTTTTGGATTTAGAAAGAGACCTCAACTCTAGGAAGAAACAAACTGTTCCTTGGTTTTTCTAATCATCAAAATATTTAACACAAGTGCTAACTGCTGAATGCACCTAGGTAATGTTTCAAACAAGTGTATGTTTTGTTTGAAAGCATATATATATCTGAGTATCATTTTCTGTATGTTTCTGATTTCTTTTTCCTAGATATATTCTCCCCAATTAGACTCTCCTCCTCCAAGATGGGTAAATTTTGCACATGGGTTGCTTCTCTTCCTCTATCAGGTTTGCATGCGTCTTCATGCTATTATGATCAAGATGTTGTTTCTCATAATTTTTCTCTTTATAATTTGTACTTACCCTTATTTAATTCATTACAGACATTTGACGCTGTTGATGGAAAACAAGCCAGACGAACAAATTCATCCAGTCCGTTAGGGGAGCTTTTTGATCATGGTGATTGTTTTCAAACTGTTCATTGTTATTTTCTGTTTTCCATCTTCATAACAAACAGTAGCTGACTGCTTCCTTTGATAAATGTCAATTCTCTAAATAATGCAGGATGTGATGCACTTGCTTGTACGGTATGTTATGCTTTCTACTTTTTGTTTCATTGCCATGGAAGTTGTACTGTCTTACAAATTTTTTGTACTTGATGTATCAGTTTGAATCCATAGCCTTTGGGAGCACTTCTATGTGTGGAGGAGATGCTTTCTGGTTTTGGGTTATATCAGCTGTTCCTTTCTACTGTGCAACTTGGGAAAAGTGAGTTCTCCATACTATGATTGCTTTTTACATTTATTCCTGATTATGCATCCTTATTTAAGAAACTTATAATATCCCTCCTTTTTGCAGCTACTTTACCAACACTCTTATCCTTCCTGTAATAAATGGACCTACAGAGGGTCTCATGTTGATATATTTCAGTCACTTCTTCACAGCTTTAGTTGGTATGGTTGTTTTTCCCCTCAAGCACTCCAATTGATACCTATTTCAATTGTTTGTCAAATTTCCAGCTAGTTATGCTATGTAATTGGTTTCAATTTTTTCTTCTTTCAGGTGCTGAGTGGTGGGCTCAACAGTTTGGGAAGTCTATGCCATTCTTAAGTTGGGTTCCAATTATAAATGGTGAGATTACACAACTCGAATGGGTTGCACCAATAATATATCTTGAGTTACTCTTATATGGATATTCTTTGGTTGCTTAAGTTGGGGGAGGATAAGATGCATTTTTAATGTATATATGCACTATTTCATATGCTTTTGATCTTCGTAGTGTTGTATTCCCTTCTACAGTTATTTGTATTCCCGATGTTCTCACTTATTCTTTGTGTTTCATTGACTCCAGAAATCGCAACATCTAAAGCAGTGTTGTTTCTAATGATAGCCTTTGGAGTCATACCAACCGTCTCATTCAAGTTAGTGTACCTTTTTTTAAAATTTTTTTTTATTATTTTTTATCAAACTTACATGTTTTCTGTGGAAACCTCATCATTTTCAGAGAGGTTTTGATGGGTTCTCAGAACAACATTTCTCTTATAAATTACTATTAAACCCATGATAAATTGATTTCAATCCACAATCACTATTCTTTCCCCATGGTTTATTTTTCCTTCCTAACAATTTTACTGTAACAGTTGATATATTGTTGGGTATTTTATTTGAACAACTATCAATCAGAAACTGCTGACATCTTAATCTGATATGTTACTTTGCGTAGTGTGATATATTGGTGATGTGAGTTTTATTTTAAAATCAATCCTTCTTTCAGCGTGCACAATGTGTACAAGGTTGTTCAGGCAAGAAGAGGAAGTATGCTGCTTGCACTGGCCATGGTATGGGTGATTCGTAGATTATTAAAGTACTTTGAATTAATTTTCCAGTGACTTATAGGTTTTGACCCAATTTCATGGCAGCTATACCCATTTACGGTGCTGTTGGGAGGAGTCCTTGTCTGGTACTCTCTTTCTTGTTTCTTATTGCTCTTTCCTTTAAATACTAAGTTTCTGAATGATATTCTTAAGAAATTTGTTATTACGTATTATGCAGGGATTATATTTCTCCTAATGATTTAATGGGAAATTATCCTCATTTGGTTATTGTGGGGACTGGGCTGGCATTTGGTTTCCTTGTGGTAATTTCCTTCTCTTGGCTGCTTGAATATGAAGTGATTTGTGAATTTACCGAAAGCTTTACCACAATTGAATGATTGTGTTCTTAAGTGAAATTAGACTCTATTACAAAGACGATATCCATCTTGAAAGTAAAGTTTGATCACATATTTTTCAGTATCAAAATTTTATTGGCATGCATCTTGATCTCGGTTCATGTACATTTTGTCTTGTGCAACTTTATGGTCTTTCTTGTTTTACAAAATGCTATTCTCAATTTTAATTTTAACATGAACTTGATGCTGAAGCTGAAGAAACGCTTATTCTGCAGGGAAGGTTGATTCTATCTCACTTGTGTGATGAACCAAAGGGCTTGAAAACAAGCATGTGCATGGTACCCCCCTCCCTTCCCCCCCCCCCCCCCCCCCCCCCCCCCCCCCCCCCCCCCCGAATCCTGGTTATCGATAAATGTGAAACCATCTCAAACTCTGTTCCACTAACCAAAATTTCTTACATTACATTTTGTAGTCACTGCTGTATCTGCCTTTTGCCATTGCGAATACACTCACTGCCAGAATTAATGGCGGGTATGTAGTAGAACCCACATTCAGATTCTTGAATATAAAATTTCTTCTCCATTTTTCCTCATTTAGACGTGTTTCTTTACTTGTACTTATGGCAGCATTCCATTAGTTGATGAATTCTGGGTCCTCCTTGGATATTGTGTGTACTCAGGTACTTCTTATTTGCTTCATTGGATGCAGATTTTGAGTATATTGCTTTCATTTCAGCTGTGTTTTCTTTCTAATGCTTTTATTGGCCCCTTCCGTGCATTTGAAAAACAAGAAAGTGCAAATATAGATGGTTATAATGCTTATTGTCCCCTATATATGCTGAGACATCATGACTTTGGAAAAGCTCCTTTCACAAAGAAAGTTTCTTTACATTTTTTTTTCTTTCGTTTTCCACTCTACCACGGTTTCTGAGACATTACGACCACTTTCTTTGCGTATGTAGTGTCGTTGTATATGCATTTTGCAACATCCGTCATTCATGAAATAACAACAGCACTGGGAATCTACTGCTTCAGGTAAAAGATTCGGTGTTAAAACTTTAACAGATTTCATTGATTTTAGAATTCCATCGAGGCAAGGTCTAATGTTAAGTAATCGGTTTATTACTGCCTTTCACCAGGATAACGAGGAAAGAAGCATAGCCGTGTCTATTGTGGTACCATACATGCACTGATAAACTTGCACATCACGAGTTTGTTATGGTGTTTTACCGACCAGTATATGATTTCGTCTCTCTTTTCTTCTCATTTGTTCGTAGGATACAATTCGCGATTTGAAGCCTTTCGGCTACCATTGATTTGGCGTGGCATTGTTGACATTATTCAGTAGGTAATGAGGCTTAGTTATATTGATAATGTAATTCTTGTTTAGAATTTTCTAACTATTGTGCCATTCAAAACAATGCCATTTGAAGATGTCCATTGAAATGCTGTATTATAAATATTATTTTAGTTTTGATTGGTGAAGATCTTTTGGTTTATTTTTATCAAGAGACAGAAAATTTATCATGCCATGCCAACAAGTAGTTTTTTTTTTTTTTTTTTTTTTTTTTTTTTAAATGCTACTGACTCTATTATATTGTAGTATCGGTTCAAATATACTTTCTCAACTTAATGAAGCACAAGAGCTAACAACGCCTTCACTGAGGTTTGATCTCATGACCTCTCTCACATGGGGAGGTCACTACATGTCATTTGTATGTCATTTGAGTACATGGTGCTTGAGAAGTAGTTAGTGATTCTGAGTTATTTTTTGTTTTGTTTTGTTTTTTTTTTTTTTGTTATAAAAATTAAAATACCATACTCTCAATAATGGCAAATTATGCCGTGCATCCATATGCACCATGTATGGTGCATACGGATGCAAAAACGACGTCGTTTTAATAAAACACGCGTCTCCCCTTAAAAAAAAATCAGGTTCTATTCCCAGCAACAACATATGAACTAAAATTCCATAATCGATGAACTATAATTCCATAATTGATGAACTATAATTCCATAATCTAATCTATGAACTAAAAATTCCAGAATGAATGAACTAAAATTCCATAATCTATAAACTAAAATTTCAGAATCGATAAACTACAATTCCATAATCGATGAACTATAATTCCATAATCAATGAACTAAAATTCCAGAATGAATGAACAATATAATGTTGTTGCTGAAAATCGAACCTGAATTTTTTTAAAAGGGGAGACGCGCGTTTTTTAATAAAACGACGTCGTTTTGGCATCCGTATGCACCATGCATGGTGGATACGGATGCACAGCATAACTATTCTTCAATAATATAACAATAATAATATTTATTCTAATATTTTGTTTTTATAGACTCAACATTCATAACACGTGTATAATTGAACCCAACGATTATTGGGAATGACTTTCCTCCGCTAACTAATAAATCACATATTTACCAAATGAAATAAATATACTATTCCTTGTCTCTTTGATAATTTAGCCTTTGAAATAATTTATTTATACAGAATTGTCATTATATAAATAAATTATAAGCCTCATTTCTCCCCTAGTCTCCAAACCATAACCCCACATATTCTACAAGACTACAACCCTCTCCCCACCCCAACTTTGACCCATAGAGAAAAAGAAAAAGAAGAAACAAAAGAGAGAAAAAACAAATTCTCTCTTTTATCTTATCATCTTTTATCTTTCTTTTTTTTTTGAAATCTTGTCTTCTTCTTCTTTTTCTTTCTCAATTAACCATCTTTGATGATGGCGCAAGCACAACCCGATCTGCAGATCGACCAACTGAGGCATATCTTCATGCATTTCGACATGGATCGAGACGGCAGCCTAACGCAGCTAGAACTCGCCGCCCTCCTCCGCTCCCTCGGCCTCAAAACCAGCTGCGATCAAATCCACGCCTTGACGGCGCACATGGATTCTAACGGCAATGGCTCCATCGAATTCGACGAGCTCGTTAGCGCTATCTTGCCCGACGTTAACAGAGATGTGCTACTCAATCAGGTTTTTTTTTTTTTTTTTTTTTTTTTTAATAAAATTGATCGATTAACGTTGTCGTTTTTGAATCGGTTTAAATTTATCCGATGTTGAATCGGGTGGATTATATATTATATATTATATATTATATATATATATATACGTACAGGAACAGCTGATGGAAGTTTTCCGGTCGTTCGATAAGGACGGAAACGGGTACATAACGGCGGCGGAGATGGCGGGGCAGATGGCGAAAATGGGGCACCCCTTGACGTACCATCAATTGACGGAGTTGATGCGCGAGGCGGACGTTAACGGCGACGGCGTCTTAAGTTTCAGCGAGTTCGCCAGCATTCTGGGAAAATCCGCGGCGGAGCTTCTCGCCCTCACCGCTTAGCCGCGCCGCCGTCATCTTCGTCGTCCAATTAACGTGCCGCCATGCATTATTGTCGTTACATACATCTAATGTATAGTTAACGGCCTTTAGGGTTGGGATTCAACCTTTTGGAAAGAATGTATAGTTAAGTAGTTAACGGCCGATCATGGATGATAATCTTCACCAAGTCTAACTTAACGGCAAGACAGTCGTTGCATGCATGATAAGATAGGATTTGTACGTCTTATGTCTCATCTCATGCACGTACGATATTGTTTTTTTTTTTTTCCCAATATTCCATTTCATATAGAAATTTAATGTTTTTGTAATTACTTAAAACAATGTACAAAATTTATGGTGGGGTGAATTACTTAAGACTTTAATTGTATGTGATTCAAGGAGAAAAACATTAAAAAAAATAAGTAGTTGTAATTGTTCTCTATTAATTTATTCAGGTATATTTCACAGGAACAAAGAAAAATTGTAATTTATGACACTCTATAATATACCAGTAATTTCTGAATTATTAGTGATGTAAATGTTGTCCATTAATTTTTAAAATGATCCATATATTACCCTTCCTGTATTGTACGAGTGAAAAATTGAGGGCAACATTTACACTAGGGGAGGACAATATAGGTATCATTTTGAAAATTGATGGACAACATTTACCACACTAATAATTAAGAGTGATATTGATAATTGACATATTATGAATGAATATAAATTACAATTTTCCCTGTGATCAAATTAGTCTTTTAATGCTTCGTTCCCGTTTAATGAGACAATGATGAGTAGTTAGCTTGGTAAACACAAATTTAATTCTCGGTGGAAGTTGCTTATTGTCTTTCTTGATTTAAGCCGGTCAATAATGAGTAACTTAGGCAGGTTTACTTCTTTGTGTTCTTTTGCCGGCTAGAGTCACGAGACGAGTTTTATCTGAACCGCCCAACTTAATTAGTCCACATTTAGTATGTTAGAATCAGAATAAGAGGCCTCAATAAAACGAATTGAGAATCAATATATTATTGATCAAAACTAATTGTTTCTTCCCTCCCACTTCTAATCTAGTGTTGTATACCCCCCAGTAATTCTATAGAATGCATATTTGAATAAACAAATTTATACCTCTTGGCACTGTAATCTCTATGTATGTATATATCTACTTACATGCAGACCTGCAGAATTGCAGGCCCTCAGATCATCATCAGCTATCTACAAATGAGCAGAGCTCCAGTTTAGCCTGTAATGTTTTGGATGCACATTCTGTTTGCTCACTCAAACAAGATAAAGAGTGAAGCTGCAGATGTTCACCCGACCTCGCCATGGAGCGAGCAGTGAACCCGACGGTTGTGTGCCTGATAGACCTCTGTCGAATCATGTCACAGTACTCGGGGTCCTCCAGCTTCCCCTCATAGCGAATCCACTGAATCATTTCATGGTACGTTGGGAAAACGCGCATCTGAACCGCGTTGTATGCAAAGTAAGGAACGAGGGCGGTAACCACCACGAAGAGGGTGGCGATCCAGTAGGACGGGGCGGGGGCGAGGGCCTCCAGGAATACACGATAAGCGTTAGTGGAATATTGTGCAGGTAGTGCTCCATATATGAGCAGGAAAATGTACCATAGGGCTATCCCACCCCAGATGAAGAGGTGTTGGATTAAGGTGAAGTAGCTTATGGCAAGGGCCATTTGGCAGTTCACAACCCAAACTACACAAGTGTACATAGTCGCCCCTACTATTGCATATCCCGCGATTTTCCCGTCCTCCATGTAGGCCTGGGGGTCGAGAACGGTTGTGCAGATGAAGAATATGATAAGAGCACTGCAAACCCCATTCAGCATCCATCCAATTATACGACGCCAGTTGAAAAGGACGTTCTCAATGCCTTCTTGATAAAGTAAAGGGAACTGCCGAAGAAATTAGGATCAAACGTTTACCACTATAGCAGACAATATAGTAATTGCCAGAAATTAAATATTGGTCTAACATGACCATAAGTTTAATGTAACGTACCTTAAGGCAAAAACGAGCAGACACATCCTGATCAAAAACGCCCAAAGCAAGCACCGGGAGTGATGTGAAGAAGACGTTGTAAAGTCCGAGGAACCAATCGTTGTATGCTGGTTGCCCAGAAAACGATGTGTATATCTCATACAAGAATAAAGTGAAACCGAAGGTGATATTTTTGTAGAAGAAATAGCATATCTGCAACGAAAAACAGATGCAGGGCTTCAATGTAACAAGTCAAGGGGCAAATTAACATCGCAAAATTTTTAAAATTTACTCTAAAATCGATTACCATTGTAGCGATTCTTCTGTAACACCAATGGCCGTGCACTAAAAGCAACCGTTCCAAATATTGGAACTGAGCAATTGCAACATCGCTTGACATGACAGCCTGCACATTTGTAACCGGGCGAGGTAAGAAGAAATGTGGCATTTTTATCATTATAAGATGTAAAACGTTGCCACGAAGTGACAAGATAAAGCTTCTGGTTAGAAATAATTTATTCCTAACGTTGATTCATATAATTATTTCTAATAGTCTCCCACTTGATTCATATAAGCGTGACACCTTTATTATATGAATCAACGTTACGAATAAATTATTTCCAACAGTTTTCACCTGCATGCCTTCAACGCCACTGATTCCAATTCCAATATCGGCTTCTTGAAGCATTCCAACATCATTCGCCCCGTCACCAATTGCCAATGTTGTTTTTCCAGTCCCCGTTTTAACAAGCCTCGTTACCTTAACATTCGAGAAAATTTTCATAAGATCAGATATACAAGTACTAGAAGAGGATATATATATATATATATATATATATATATATATATATAGCATTGCATAACCGAGAATATTTGATCTTACCAAAGCCTTCTGCTTTGGCGATGAGCGGCAGCATATAACAGAAGCGCACCTAATTGCAACATCGAGGAATAAGTTCTTTACATCGTCCTTCAATGCATATGTAAGAGATTTTCCATCAATGATCAAGGCAAACGCCTCGGTGCTGGAAGAAGTAACCTGAGCCTTCGCATCGTTGATTTGCTTGAGAACATTTTTCTTCGAGGCCTATTGACGTTATTGTTAAAACGATATATATATACATCAATAAGACACTTCACCTAGTGCTATAACTGGAACATCATCGATTCGATTACCTTAGCAATTGCATCTTTGTCTCCACTTTTCTCGAGTGCTATGATTTCGGGGGTATCCAAGTTTACGATGATCTGCTCCATTCCTTGTCTAAGCAAACTACAGGCATAACTGCAGAATTTTCGTTGTCAGAAACGTGTAGGACGAATGGTAATAACATAAAACGACTAAACGAGTAATAAGAAATACAATAATACCCAATATTTATTGCAGTTTCCATCTTGTCACCTGTCAAAACCCATATCTTTATGCCTGCTTGGGCGAGTTTATCAATGCAATCGGGAACCTAAACGGGATAGCCAAGTATAAGTAAATCTTGAATTTTGATCAATCGAAACGAGCTGAGATATCCTTAAATCTTACCCCTTGTTGGAGTTTGTCCTCGACAGCAGTAGCACCGAGAAGAGTTAAGCCCTTTTCGATCTTCTCTGTTACTTCATTCATCCTCGAATCTCGTTCTGCACTGACTAGATTCTTCGCCTCCGAAAACTTTTTATTGAACACCTCGTATTCTTCCTCACTGAGCTCACGATAAGCGAGAATCAACGTCCTCAAGCCTGCATCAGCGTACTCGTTCACGTGTTCCCTCGTTTCCTCTTCAAACTCCCTACCATTCATCGCGAGCCTTTCGAACATAACACTGCATTCATCCCAAACACGATAGAATAAACAAGTTCATGATAGCTCAGATAGAAGGAAAAGAAATGAATCCAAGAAAGCGTATAAGAACAGTTACTAACTAACTAACTAACTAACTAACCTGTCAGCGCCTTTGCAAAGTAGTAGAATCTTTCCATCTTCATCTCTCACGATCACGGACATCCTTTTTCTCGTGCTGTTGAATTCCAGAACATCCAAAAGCTTATACACCCTGCACACGGGAATTTTTTAAGAGACTCGAAAAGAAGTGAATAAGTGGGCTTATATAGAGAAATGTTTTGTTATTTGTGCCAACCTTTCAACTCTTTTGCCAGATTCGAGATCCAATTCGTTCACCGAGACACTTGTTTGAGTTCTCTTAGAGAATTCAAACCCGATCTCTCGTGCTGCAATCACGAAAGCAGCCTCATCTGGAGACTCGGCTTCGTATGAAACTTTGCCAGTAGCATCATCCACGTCGGGTATGACAGTGTGACAAACTGCCAGTAAACGAAAGAATCTTTGTATCACGCCCGATCGAGGCTCGGTTATCCAATTCCCGTTCATGATCCGTTCATCGCTAAAGTTAAAGCCTTTCACATGTGTTTTCGCCACAATAATCTCTCCACAATGTGCCCCTTTTCTTTTAGCCATTGCCCTTTCGACTTCTGTGATACCATGGCCATAAGCCACACCCCCCACCGAGCACTTAACGAACTCCATCGAGTTGCAAGTCAACGTGCCAGTCTTGTCAGAAAGTATCGTCTCGACCTGACCAAGCTCCTCTGTCAAATTCGAGGTTCGGGCATTTGCTGGCTTGTCAGTTTCTTCATAGTACATATGAATGTCTTGATTGATGAAGGTACTCTGAAGAACTTTGGTGATTTCGATAGATACATACAAGGAAATCGGGATCAAGTTGCTAAACAGAAGCAGAGCAGTCAGGAAGTGATAAACAGCAGCAGCTGCAGCCCGATTAGGATCGAAGAAAATCTCAGAATTGTCCGGTCTCAAATACCATCTTTTCATCTTCATCTTTTCACCATCCAAATCCTCCTTAGTTACAACCCCAAAGTAGACCGATCCAACAAAGCCAAAAACGAACAGGACGCCAAATAAAAAGTAGACGATATTATCCATTTTCCTCTCGATTCTGCTCCTCTTTGAAGGGGGCTCGGTTGAATTCTGCATAACCTTTGTGTCATGACCAGTGAAGATAACAGCCCCATACACATACTCCGTGTTTCGTAACTTCGAGTCTCTCAAAAGCAAATGTTGAGGTGAAAGAGGATGCTGTTTTCCTTCACACTCCAAACTCCCAACAAAAGTATACAAATTGGCATTAGGATCTTCACACTTAACCGTCGCCTTAAAACCTTGGAACTGAGAATCGTCGTGCAAGGATGAAGAAGTGACCTCCAATGCTTGTTTACACTTGAGATTAGTCTCACCGTCGAGATTCATGGTCTCAACATAGCAGACCGCATCATCATAGCTCGACGAAAGCAAAAGAAGGTCAGCTGGGAAAAAGTCATCTTTCTGCACCTTAACTATGTCACCTACTCTCAAATTTTTCCATTCAGTTTGCTTGAACACTCCATTACTTTGATGCACATTAACCTTTCTATTGTTCATCTCAATATCCTGAGAGAAAAATATCATTTTGTACTCAATTTTTTTCAAAGCTAATTGGCAATTAACCCCAAATTATAAAAAGAAAAGTATAGAGAATCTATATTTGAAATCATCAATCAAATATCATATCCCCAAAATCACTTTATGATATCATTTAAGACCTACAAAGTGATCTTAGCTTCCACAAACAAATTAAAACATATCCCTAAACTCAAAATGGATAAGCTACATGAGCAATCCCAGCTAAGTTGATCTGATCAGGTTAAATTGGTAACCAGAAGGTTACAAGTTTGACTCCCAGTGGGAGCAGTCTATTGGTCTTCTTGGTTTAAGCTGAGCTGATCAGCTATGACCCTTTGACAGCTAGGCCACAAGGCGGGATTTATCCCACAAACCCGGATTCTGATCACCTAAAAATGACAGAAAAATTTTAAAAATACCTGTTGTTTTCTATGCCAATCTTCTATAGCTTCTTTGACCATGGATGCTCCAATGACAAAGATAAGAGGAATAATGGCAGTGGAAGCCCGGAAAGGAGCCAGGGGAGTGAAGGACAAGATGCCAACAACCAAGAAGTAGAAGTTGGCCACTCTTCTGAACTGCTCAAACAAGGATTTGGGCAAGAAAGTTGCAGCAGTGTACTTTGTAGTCCTAACATAATTCCCAGAATAGTTGTTCTTGATTTCTTCACCCTCAAAAACCTCTGTCTCATTGCAATATACCACCCTTGAAAACCCTGGCCCACCTATCTGGGATTGCTCCTCCTTGCTGAATGCTGACATCCCACATCTGAATGAGTAGATCTTGCTGAAATGCAGCTTCTTCCTCCTCCCTGTCCCCATTTTCTCCACTTTCTTTCTATCCCAATCCCAATCCCAATCCAAAAAATCACTGTAAATGTAGTTTATTCAAGAGAAAACCCAATTTTCTCCAATACCAAGAGCTCAAAGCTCTCTAAAAAGGGTTCAAAAAATGATGTCAAGAACAAAGGACTGAAGAACTTCACCCAAAAATATATATATATATATATATATATATATAAAGTTTTTGTGTTTGTGTGAGGGGATGGTAAGGGATAGGTATTGGGTTGGATGAGAGTGTAGAAAGGGGGGGTCTTGGTCTTCCAAATAGAGACAAAGCCACATTACTTGGTACCCACAATTCCAACGTGGTCAATCCACCTCAAAAACACCGAAAGCTTCCATCTTTGCTGCATATTAACACTTAAGAGACCAAAGGGTTCAATTCTTAGCTCAAGACTTGGTCAAAGAGAGATGCAGAGAGAGACAGAGAGAGAGAGAGAGAGGGCGGATACAAGAAGCCTGTTAATATACAGATTATCTATGATTCTATGTTGTCATATATATACATATTTGTCCCATATTACACCTCCATATAGTGAAAAACAAGGAAAATCTGGAAAATTTTCTCTTTTGCCCAAAGGAATTGAACTAACATTGACTTGGATCTCTCTTTCTCTCTCTCTCTCTTTCCCAGTTTCCCCCTGTGTTTGACTTGCAGTACTTCGGATTTCTAAATGCTTAGATGCCTTCTTTAAAAATCTATTCTTTCGTATAAATACCAAACATGCATAAACAAGTAATTAAATTTACATTTTTGATCTTAAAGAACAAAAAGGGTGATTACAAAATGGGCCAGATGTGACGAAGAAAGCATTTTGATCTTCTGTAATTTCCACTTTGAGTGTGAAAATAAAAAACCGGGGAATTTTTCAAAGATTTCCACTTTTTCCCTTTTTGCGTAATCTTTCTCTTCTTGGATTTCTGGGTTTGGCCTACTCTTTACTGTCAGAAAGCTTCAGAGAAAAAAAAGAACACAGAAAGAAATAAATTAATTTTTTTTTTTTAAAGATTAAGTCTGTACTGTGTACGTACATAAATAAACAGAATAAACAGGAAGTGTCCACCTGGCGCAACGGCGGCAAGTCTGCCAAGTGTAGAAAAGACAAAGCGACTAGTCAAATACATTGGTATATTGGTATACCGTATTTATACCGTATACCATATTTATAAAGTCGTTAAAAAAACTTATGGTAGGTTTGGAAACTAAAAATGATTTTTGAAAATTATTTTTTTAATTTTCAGTTGGACGTGTCTGGAAAATTAAGTCAATAGAAAATGACTTTCGTCAAAATTTGGCGGAAGTCATTTTTCACAGGTTGACAACAATCGTGTCCAGTGGAAATTATAGGTTTGATTTTCGTCGAAAGCCATAGCTCTGGTTTCCACCGCCAACCGGACCAGCTTTGATATTGGTTTCTGTCAGAAATTAAAGAGAATTTTTTTTTCCTTCCAATTTTTAATAAATAATATTATTATAAATATTTTTATATTCTAAATAAAACAATTAAAATGTTTAATTATACAATTCTACTCATTTTTTTAGAAAATGAACCAAACACACCAAGACAGTTTTCTAGAATGCAACCAAACACTGAAAATGAAACTATTTTCTGAAAAATTACTCATTTTTCATAAAATATTTTTCATAAATCAATTCCTGATTTCAAAGCACACCCTTAATCCATCGTACTAGTCCGCCTTGTTTCGCATAAAGGGCGGGATCGACTCTAAGTTTTATGATTTGTTAAATTGGTGGGATGGGTTAGCCCTTGTTAGGCCCTTCAAATTAGCAGACTTTGGCAACCTTGTCCCGCCAATTTGTTTTGACGATTCTACATATTTATATATGTATACTGATGATATAAATAAGATATACATTCGTATGTCGGATCGGAGTGTGAGGGGCTTTAGGGTTGGGATTCAGCCTTTTAGAAGAAGATATACATTCGTATGTGATGACATCATTATTGAGCTCAACTCATTTTACCATAAGTTGATTAATATTAATGGTGATTAGTTTCAATCATTAAACATAGCAAATGTAATAATTAACTCGTAAATTATGAATAAATGATTAATTATAGAATTATAGGCTATAGCTATTTCAATCTTTTATAAATATTGTTATAATTTATTAGCTTATATTGTATATTTTAAAACTTCGTAACAAAATTAGATACAGAATCTATTAGATTAGATATGGAATATATGCCAATTGGTTTAGTGTCCATGAGTGAGTTAATGACTTGCAATAATGGTTTTTAGCTTCTTCAAGAAGGGAAATTATTGATGCAAGAATTTTTGTAGGGAAAACAAATATAAATTATATAATAGAAAATTAATTATTATTATATGGAGAATATCGCAAAAATGGGCACGAAATAATAAAATAGGTTTATACAATTATATACCTTGTTTGATTAGTTGATTCTAGATGCTTTATGTTCCTATTCTCATATTTATAGAAGGCCTGCAAAAGATGCTTCAGAGGAATAAAATTTAATTTTATGACTAAATTCTATATATGCATATGGATTTTATATAGGTTTGAACAGGTAATTTTTCATTTGAGAGAGTCACAATTATGTCGCTTGACCACAAGATTTTTAATCAATGGAAATTACATTAAAAACTACAAATTAGTTCTCAATTATTAAATGCTAACCCAAGTGATATATATATATATATATATATATATATATATATATATATATATATATATATATATATATATGTACACTATCCAATGCTTAAGATGGCACTTCACCAGACAATATAATATTCTTCCACAAGGTGAAACTACCTAGGAAACTCAATGGACATTTCATTCATTTGTATATTCTTGTTTTTGACACAATTAAGACATCATATATTTAACATTAAATCCAACTTGAACTAATAATAATAATAATAATAATAATAATAATAATAATAATAATATTATTATTATTATTATTATTATTATTATTATTATTATTAATGCAATCATTAATATAATTTTAAAATTTTTCATTTTAATACAGAGAACATATACTAAAAAAGTGTTAGACAAAAATCAAACTCGCGACCATCTAAATACAAAAATTATTCTCTACTTAGTCAATTACTATACATCGTACCTTCAGAGTATAATTCATCTATTATTGTGACAAAAACAAGAAGCCGGCTAAATTGTGACAAGAACAAGAATGAAAATGTTGGCAACCTTAATTAAAACATTAATGGCATAAAGAGTTCAATTAATACAGTGGTTGAACTAGGTTGCAAACACCGACGACCTACCGACCGGCCGGCCGGCGAAGCCCCCACTGCGACCTTCTTCTAAAAAAAATAACTTAAAATATAGCAAATTAGACACTGTTTATGTTGAAACATCCTCCAAATACACACAAATGTCCATTGAGTTTACATAAAGATAGAAAATGAAAAATATTTACATACTAAATATACCCTTATTAACGTTTAAGAAAAACACTTCTTAATATTAACATCAAGTTTAGATAACCTAGTAACTTGAAGCGAATTGCTAAAGCAATTATAAGGTTGAATGGGTTAGAGTTAAACTCGACTAGACGCATCAATTTAATCACTCGATGGTTGGGATAACAGATAGTGTGTAAAAATCAAGTTTAGATGCAATCAACGGAGTAAGAAATTAAGAATCCGCTAATGACGTTGTGGTCTAGTGGCATGAAGTGGTTCTGATCTCGTAAAATGGAAGTCATAAGTTTGAGCCTCAGTGGAGCTGAGACAGTATTGACTCTTTATGCTTCAGTAGGTTGATAAAGTATGTATGAACAGATACTAAATTGTAACGGAGTGAGTTGTATTAAAAAAAAAAAATTAAGAATCCATGTTAAAGTTGGGAACCAATTTTCCTTCAATTCTTATGCTTAATTGTTCAAAAGATAAGATTAACTGATTAAGTACAGAATCATATCCTTCTGGAACATTAACAATATATTTATAATGTTTTAATAACTATATTTTAGTTTCAATTTGTTATCAAACAAATGAACATCCAATTTGTGGGTTCCATTGCACGTGCGGAACCAAACATGAAAAAGGGTGATAGAAATATAATCATAATATTGTCCCCTGCACTTACTATTCATCATAATGATGTAGGGTTTCTCAAATCACTATACATGCAAGTACAATATTGTTTTTTGTTACAAGTTTGACCAAGCAACTAGCTTCGTGGCACAGTGGTAGCCAAGTTGGGTATTTATTTTGGAATTCAAACCACTTTAATTTGGTTGTTGTTCATGTGTACTTTGTCAAAATGGCATAAAAATAATTTCTTTAAATAACTACAACTTTAAGTAACTTATAATAATGTATGTAAATGTAATATTGGTATTATTACTATAGCCACTGTATGGTGTTTATAATGAATATACAAATATTTTAGTTTGGATGGATTTATAGGGTTAAATCTAACATTCTATTATTAAAATGATGTTGGTTGTTATATAAGTATAAGAAAAATGTTGTGTATGTTTTATATATTACTTGGAAGATAACATGGGTTGGAGTACGTATAAAGCAATAGTGCGATAACACTTGTCTTTGTGGTTTAATTTGAACTACTTGAATTGGGTTTGTTGACTGGGTCGGGTGTGGGAGCAGTGTCCTGCGGTACAATAAATGGATAATTTTGAAAATGTACCATTATGGTTGTTTATGAATATGGTCTCGCAAATAATAAAAGATTTCCTTTGCTCTCATGGATTTAGGCTTTAGACTGAACCACGCAAACTCTTCTTCTTTGTTTTTCGTTTTTTGTTCTTAATCTCTTGGTCCAGTTTTTCTCAACATAAAGTTAAACATTCACTACTAGTTACAACTTTTGATGTAGCATTAAGCAATGTCATGAGCCTAAATGTTACTAGCAGAGGAGGTAAATCGTATTAATTAGAAGATCTTGTGTGATGGGTTTGACGGAGAGAAAGTGTTGGCAAGAATAGTGCAAGAATCATGCTCATTGTAATAAATTGGCAAGAAATGTACAAAAATATACTCATTGTAAACTGCTGACCTCGAAAAAGTACTTACAAGACAAACATATACATTGAGAGATAGAGACATGGTTTGGTCATTGTGGGATGGCATTTCCTTAGAATATTGCATTTGAACAAAGCTGTAATTTTTCCCAATCCGGCCATAAGGTCATAATAAACAAAACAATTAACTAACATTGGTTTTGAATTACTAATATACTTTTTTTGTTGAAAAAATAGATGATGCTAATTGATGTAACTCCTAAGTTCTAACGTTTGTTTCTAATGACTTATTTCTTCATTGAAAATTTTGACATTTGTCATTGGACCGGTAATCGAGATGCCATCACACTTAATGGTAGTTGACATGTTTCCAATATTTTTTTTTTCATAAGAAATTTCTTACATTTGTTGTTAAAAGACCAAAATACCACGCACACTTTAATTTTTGGATCTCCCTTGGGTATCAAAAAGGGTAATTGCCACAATGCCGCCACACATTGTATTGGTTTATTGACGTTGGAAGTTCACAAAATTTTGATAAAGGGTGTTGATTATTTTCTTCATCCCCAAGTTAATGGTTGGACTTCCATTTGGAAGGTTGTGAGTTCGAGCCTCAGTGGAGGCGTTATTAGCTCTTTGTGTTTCAGTAAGTTGAGAAAGTATATGAACAGATATTACATTGTAATAGAGCTAGTAGCATTCAAAAAAAAAAAGTTAATTAAACTATTAATTTAAAACATTATTATTTTGGGTCAATAACACTATATTTATATGATGCGTATAGAAAGAGACGACATATTAAGGTAAGTCAACTTTATTATTATTATTATTATTATTATTATTATTATTATTATTATTATTATTATTATTATTAAAAGTCAACTTTAATTAAACATTTTTATTTGTACTCTCAAAATGGGACAACTCTATGGGTAGCGTATTATTAAATATATAGAGTTTTTTTTTTTTTTTTTTTTTTTTGAAAACCATATTAAATATAGAGTTATGTACTTAAATCGCATAATATCAAGTCTCATGGTATTAAAATTCTTACTGGTCAATATGAACATTTAAGAAAGCTTTTATGAACATGTTACTCACTATTAATGATGATTAATTTACTTAGATATTTTTTCAGTTTCTTTTTTCTAAGTTTAAGGTTATTCTTCATTTCTAAGTCTAAGACTTTAAGGTTATTCTTCATTAAATAAGTTGGTGACAAAGCTGCTAATAAACCTTATTAAGGTTCAAATTTTTACCAACTATATATATTTACAATTTTATGATATATTTGTTCCTTTTATTGGAAAGTGATTAATGTTATTAACAAGCTAAGCTAGTCAATTTAGGGCTATAAAAAGAATATACATCTTTGTAATCTTTAAAGAGAAACACCAAAAGTTGTGACCGAATATGTGAAATAATTTGATTTTCGTATCATAATGTCATAAGTTTGATTCTTATCAACATTCACTCGGTTGAACTGATTGCACAAGGTCTTCTTAGTATAATCCAACCACTACTAAGGACTCACATGTAATAGCACGCAAATTTTGCACTAGAAAGATCATATGACTTTCTAATATGAAAATTATGCTTCACCACTTGATTACTCATTTGTGGCTTATAGCTATATACTTATTCATCGTTTTCGGTGTACATTGTTGGCTGCCTATTATTATTATTATTATTATTATTATTATTATTATTATTATTATTTGTATATTTGTTTTATTTTTCCGAAAAAAAAACCTAGAATTTTTTTTTTTTTTTGTCACCTTGGGCCGTGGGGGTGGGGTAGTGGCCGGCAACTCAAGTATTAAACTCTGTTCAAAGTACTTTATTTTAAATAATTGAATGTTTTTTTCTATCTTTTTTTTTTTTTTTTTAAATAAAAGATTCTTGAAAAAGTTTTTTAATTGCATTTGGGCCTAGGCCCTATTTATACGTTAGGACTCGCAACCTGATTCTCTAATGTGCCATGAGCCCATGACGACATTAGAGAATGGACAGGAAACAAGACTAATTAAAAGCGTAAAAACAAATTATATCATGGACTAAAGTCTACATTACATTCTGAATTTTAATCTAAAATAACTTTTAAATTATGTGTTTGTAATTGGCATATTATGTATCTCAATAGTTATGCTGTGCAATCGAATGCACCATGCGCATGGTACATACGATGCAAAACGACGTCGTTTTGACTAAAAACGCGCGTCCCACTTAAAAAAAAAAATATTCAGGTTCGATTCTCGGCAATAGCATTATTGTGGATATATAGTTATGAATTTCTGGATATATAATTATGAATTTATGGATATTTAGTTCATTCATTGTGGATATTTAGTTTTATGGATATTTAGTTCATTCATTGTGGATACTTAGTTCATTCATTGTAGATATTTACTTCATTCATTCACTGTGAATATTTAGTTCATTCATTGTGGATTTTTACTTCATTCATTCACTGTGGATATATAGTTATGAATTTGTGGATATATAGTTATGAATTTATGGATATATAAAAATGTTATTGCCGGGAATCGAACCTGATTTCTTCTTTAAGTGGGACGCGCGTTTTTTTTTAACCAAAACGACGTCGTTTTGCATCGAATGCACCATGCACATGGTGCATTCGGTTGCACAGCATAATTTGCGTTATGTACCTACAATTAATAGTTTATGTGCTTACAAGTTACAAATAAATTGAAGATACATATATAACATCTTTTCAAAAAAAAAAAAAGAAAAAGAAGATACATATATAACATGATAACTACAAACACATAGTATGTTAAACATCATATTATTTGTCTGTAGTGTACATATTATGTGTTTGCAGTTAACATATTATGCGTTTATAGTTATCATGTTATGCTATGTAGTTAACACGTTATGTGCCTTCAATTTATTTACACACAGACAAACTATTAAGTACAAATATATAATATGTTAATTACAGACATATAATTTTTGAACCAAGGTGCACAAGCAAGATGGACCCTGGTCCATGGTATAACAATTGTCATTTGCTATGGTTATTGTAATCTTGTAGTTATTCCAGAGCATAATTCAACTTGTCAGCCAATTCAGAATAATTTGAGAGACTTAATTTTGTTAGCAGCTGCAAAGTTTGGGGTGTGGTGATCGCTAATGTATAAGCATTTGGGTGCTTATAAGCTAGTTGGGACACATCAAAATTTACTTCCTTCACTAATTTTCAGAGTAGGAGCAAATGCAAGTCATTTGGAAATCCAATGGATCAGTTTTAATTAGTTTTCTAGTTTAGGAGCAAATATACCATAGTCTTCAAATGTGTCTAGAAGATTAGATCAAGATTTTGTGATGTGAAAACTGAAGAGGTTATAGATTCAATTCTCGTGAAAAACATACAAAGTAAGATGTTTAGTCTTAGTTGTTTATCTCTTTTGTAATAGTTATGGTTCTTCAATTCGATCTCAGATCAGTTATTAAAGGCCAATTTTACATTGTTAGGTGTTAATTATTAAGTTATATTATTGAGTGGTTTTTTTTGGTATGAGTAATGTAAAATGATTTATCACGGTCCTTTACCGACTAGGATTACAAGGTGTTGTTTACCCCTTTATCTTGTATACACCTTTGGGTAGGGGCAAAAAAGAAAAAAGAGAGTTTGTTTCCACTGGAAACCTGCTTTTCGCAGTGGTGTTGCGATGACGGAGTCATGGATTCATGTTAGGGCCATAGGGGGATGGGGAAGATCCATTGAATGGTGGCCGGAGATGGGTTGTTGAACAGACAAGGAGGCCGGCGGTCGATGATGGTGAACGTGCTTTGATCAGAAAAGAGAGACGGTTGAATAGGCCGGGTGGTTGAACACACCGGTCACCGGAGGCGGTGACCGCAAAGACCTGTTTCAACTGCCCAGAAAAAATAAGGAAAAGAAGGCAGACCCTCCATTGTTGTTACTTCCTTCAAGCTTTCCAGTTTCAAGACATCCAAACAAAAATAAAGTTTTCTAGGATGGATGCAAGATAATAATGTCTTCCAGTTCCACCTCATCATGTTCTGTTTCTAACCAGAAGGACTTCTCTCCATGCTATATATATAGATTTAGCAACTCACAATGCAAATAATTTTGATTTTATATATGCCCTAAACTTATTTATTAATTAATTTTGCATTGAATATTAAAATGGTATCAATACATACTGCATTAATATCTGTATATACGAGATGACATTAATCTAATTAAGTGCTGGTCATGTCTTATTCAAGTAGTTCGATCAGTAATGATAACTGCGTATAGAAGATGAGACTAATCCAATTAAGTATTGATTGTATCTTATTTAGAATAGCTTGTATTTTTGACATTAAAGGAAAAGTTATGACTTTTGAGTAACACAACTTGTTCATCTAGATCTGATTGGGACTCCATACCAAGCCATAGCTGAAATGTCAAACTCAGAGATCTGTTAATACCAACAGCAAAAGACATTTCCTCTTTAACTTTGTTTGGTTTCCATGTACTTTATTCTTAAATGGATGTTTCCTTAAAATTTTGGTAACCCAAGGGGGACTTTTTCCATTTCCTTTTCGTAACAAAGAACAATCTAATTAATTTAATACGATACGGATTTACTTTATAAATAGAAAAACTTGACAACTCCAATTATGATCTATGAGCTCACAAATGAACAAGCTTAGATGATATGATTAAAAAAAGTAGTTCCTCATAAAATATGACAAATTATCAACTTCAGTCCAGCTTAGTTTACAAATAGCTGTAATGATATGATAAGGATCCCGACTTGTTGTACTTGAATTGTCGGATCTTGTAGACTACTACCATTAAATTGCTCTTCAATATCACATTCCTATATCCCTATCTCAACCGAGTTGAGTGACAATCCATAAAAAATTGTCCCAAAACAACAAAAGGTAGAGTTGGACTATTGTTGTTATCTTTGCCGCATTACGAAGTAATAAAATATGATTTCATATCACACGTTGGCAGTATATACATATATCAAAGATTAAAGATTTCACCAACCATTGCTTTTACATTGTATGAGAAAATTATTATTCTACTTTGCTTTTCCTGTAAGGCCACACTTGCTAAATTAAGGACACACAATGTACATGAGAATTGTTGGAAGCTAAGTTTCATCTGTAATGATCTGACAGTGACACTTGACCAAACCACCTTAATTTCTTACACTGCAAAAAAAGGAAATAAATAGGACAACCCAAACCAAGTTAGTCATATAATAACCATAAGATTACAATTCAATTTCGACTTCCAGTAAGATCAAGCAACTTATTGGTATTTTTTTGTTTGAGCAGATCAACTATAAATAATCTCGGCTAGTTTATTTTTTTGTGAGTTAGTCACAAGACCGTGTTTACCAGGTACATATCTTTGGTAGTGACTGTGAATTTCTCTAGTTACTCAAAAAAGAAATGAAATATATATATATATATATATATATATATATATATATATATATATATATATATATATATATATATATATATACAAACAATAATTGTATGTGATAGATGTTTGATAATCTAGCTCACTTGCCTAATGATTAGAGCAGATGTTGCATTCATTGAAATTAAAGTAGTTTTGGTCCTCCACGCATCATCGATCACCAAATTCTTGGTTTCAGATTTGAAGAACTTTCAGACAACATTTTCTGTATAAATAACTTCAAGAACTTCCAAGAAATTCCATCACTCAAAAGCAGCTAGCTAGGCAATGGCTTCCAATATGTGGATTCAGATCTCATCAATTTGCTTCTCCATTTGGTTGGTTATTGCCAATGCACAAGCACCGGCAGCTGCACCGTCTACGCCTACCATCACCACCACCCCACCGCCCACCACCGCTCCGCCTCCTACCACCACCACCCCGCCGCCTACCACCGCTCCGCCTCCTACAACCACCACCACCCCACCGCCTACCACCGCTCCGCCGCCTACCACCACCCCACCTCCTACCACTACCCCGCCAGTTACAGCACCCGCGCCTAAAGTTGCACCACAGCTGCCGCCGAATCCACCGGTAGCAGCGCCTTCAAAGCCGCCGGCATTGCCACCACCGGCACCGGCATTGCCTCCGGCTGTACCCCCACCAAAGGTGGCGCCTGCCCCTGCGAAAAACCCTCCGGCGCCAGCCCCTGTAACTAAGCCACCTGCACCAGCACCGGTGCCACCGCCACCCATACCATCACCAGTTCCGGCACCACCACCGGCTACTCCGCCGCCAGTCCCGACACCAATATCAACGCCCACCCCAGCCCCAGCTCCCGGCAAGCACCACCGGAAGAAGTGGAGACACAGGCACAGGCACCACCACGCTCCGGCACCAGCACCCACCGTGAAAAGCCCGCCGGCACCACCAACAGTACAAGAATCCGTGGACGTAACACCTGCCCCCTCGCCATCTCTAAATTTGGTAATAAATTAAACCATTCACTACAAAATAGAAAACAATATTTAATGGGCTAATCCTAATCGAGTTGGTTTCAAATTGATTTTCTTGATTTGAATTGATCAGTTATAAACAATCTAGACTGACAGGGTTTTTCTTGACAAAAAAAAAAAAAAAACATTTCTTCATGCATTATTGATTTTTAATTTCTTGATTTGATTCCAGAATGGAGGAGTCTCATTTGTGCTGCAAGCAGGAGGAAGATCAAGAATATGGACTAGTGCTGGCTTGGCAGTGACCATTTTCATGGCCATGATAGCCTAGAGTCCTCATACTCTCCCAACAACAATATTTTGTTGCAGGGCTCAATTGGATTAATTATATGATTGCAGAAAAAAAATGAGTTTAATTTGATTCTATTGTATTCACATTCCTTTTTGTCAGTCACATTGCATCATGTAATGACCACATTCTTCCTATATAAAATGGACACTTTAATTTCCTTTTAATACATTCTTGACATCATAGTTATAAGTTATAACCTAACATTTTGTCTGAGACCAACTAACATTCATAAATTTCTCAAACAAAAACAAAAGTTTAGTAATATCATACTAAAGAAATGTTGTAACCAACAAGAATCAACTATATCTTTCCCTCACTTTTTCGAGTGATGAGAAAAATATGCAATTACTATTTGAGAAAGTGCACAAGATAAACGCTGCCTTGTGACCATAATCAACAAAGAACCACTAAAAGATAAACAAATATAGGTTGTCTGACATAATCAAGAAAGTATCAAGATTACCTCAAATGGAATGGCTTGATGTGAAATTAATAGTACAGAAATAATATAATCAATGTACCAAATGCAGCCCTCATTTTTTGTCCATAATCTACTGTCCAGGAACCAACTGAGCTGCGATGTGGGCCAGGATCCTCATTTCTTGAACATAGATATTACAGGAGGCAAGTGGAATAGTTAATTACTTGAAGGGTATGAATTCTGGGGAGTTGGAGATAGCCAAGAACACTGGATAACAAGGGATTGCAGATAACAACTGATTAACAAAAAACTATATATGTATTTTCAGAGTCATCAATGCTGAGATAATGAGACAAGTTCAGACTGCATGCCAAATACTATATGTTTCTTCATCCAATGGATCACCTCCCAGTCTCCCAGAATGCTAAAACACAACCTCTGTATGTATATATATGTGTATATAGGCAATGTTATATTCCATCATATCCATTCAATACAAACTAGCTATGGCTTCATACATTTGGGTTCATCATTTCTGGGTTTATTTCTGCATTTTGTTGGTCATTGCCAGTGCACAGGCACCAGAAGCTTTGCCATCTAAGCCACCCAAAAATCCCATTCCAGCACTGCCAAAAACATCCTCGGAGCCTGGAATTTCACCTTCCTCTAGCCCAACTGCCACCCCAACTAATGCCCTGCCACCGTCTTCGCCGGTTGCTTCCCCATTGCCGTTGGCCCCACAAGTTCCTTCCCCAAAAGTATCCCCTGCACCACCACCAGTGCCACCACCGGCGTCTCCGGCCGCCCCCACACCACCACCGGCACCAAAACCAGTCCTACCGGCAGCACCACCTCCCGTGCACAAGCTAGAGAAACACTGTCACCGCCACTGGCATCACCACTGGCACCACCACTGGCATCACCACTGGCACCACCACTGGCACCATTGTCATCACCCACCACCCCCGCCACCAAGCCTACCAGCACCACCAGCAATACAAGAAACTGAGGATCTAGCACCAGCTCCCTCACCATCTTTGGTAAATCTTCCACCAAGTCTCAATTGTTATATCATGTGACCCTCCAAAAATTATGTTTTCATATTTGCAGTTAATAGTTTATGTATCTGTAAATAAATTGAATACACATATATACCTACTATATAAGTATAAAGAAACAAAGTTATGCCTTCACTAATAGCTAGATAATTGTATAAGGATAAAAAAAAAAAAAAAAAAAAAAAACTAATAAAACTGTCACCATCGTATCATCATGTCATAACTGCACTAACCTTCCTTCATTTGCCACAGAATGGAGGAGTGCCGCCATTACTGCTGAAGGGAGGAAGATCTGGGTTGGCATTTGCCATTTTGATGGCCATTATATACTAGAATGCTCAGAGCTTGACCGTCAATCTGCATCTAGCCATGAACACATACACAAGCTTTTTGCATGATTGATTATCTATATGCTTTCTATAAAACAATAACCAATAAATAAATTATCTTTGATTCTTTTCTGGTGCATTCAATTTATCAAGAAACTCATATCTATTGTTCAACATATCTGTTGATAAAATAAAAGTGCAATACATGTGTATTTCATTACTTGTTTTCTTCTCCATCAAAGTGCAATACACACACTCATACAAACACAGAACCTGTCTAGAGGGGTCTAAAAATATGTAAAATCAAATCTTTTTTCAAAAATTATGTTGGGCAGGTAAAGGAGACATGTCTAGTACTCGGTGGTTGGGGGATTCTTGGACGGAGTCCAGCACCCGGCCTGTCTCAAACAATGTGATGACGGTTTATAAGGAAATAAAGTTGCACCTTCACTACTAGCTATAGTTTTTTGCATAAGTGATAAGTCCTTAATCCTAACAAATATTTTAAAAGGGATTTTTTTTTTATATTTTTTATATTTTTTTATTAATCCAGATTATAGTACACATTATTATTTAAATTTAGTCTACAGTTGAGATACCCTTGACCAATTTGTCCTAAAGAAGACACAGAAACACAACATTTTTATTCACAGGAGGAAGAATTTTCTGTATACAAAATACAAATTATTCTCTAGAAGTTGAACCAAGCAAAAAAAGAGGGCAAGTTGACACTTTCTTTAATTTATTCAACTTGTCCAATGACATAAATACCCCTCCACCCCTGCTATCCACACCTGCCACCCCCCACCAACCAATGGTGTTGATTCATCCACTGGGCATTTCTTGAATTCCTTGGGCAATTGGAGCATCATCAATCTTCTTCATCTACTTCATGAAAAGGAAGTGGCACTGTCTTAACAGCTCTGAATTTGCCTGCATTATTTAGATGCTCATTCTCCAGCCTATTCCATTCAAAAGCAATGGCATATTGGTCAGAAAGAAGAATTGTTGATGAAGATTAAAGCTTAAGTACTTTTCAAGAAAGCTCATTATTATCATTATCATTATTATTATACCTATAGAAATTCCATTGCCCTCTCCTGATGACTTCAAGGGCAGCTAAAAATAGCCCTGTTACCCTGTAATCTATGCTTCCAAAATTATAATGCAAAACTGTTTGTAACCATGCCAGCCTAAGAACAAGGTTTAGTCCCTGCAAAACCCAAACCGAATTTTTCGTTTATTCTCGAGAATTTTAGCTGTCGTACGTGACAATATATACTTTTTGCTCGAACATAATGAACTGATGAGAATTCGGGTTTGATTCGATTTGTGTTTTAGTACCATGGAGAAGTAGTAAATGAAGTTGTGGCGCAGCATGAGGTCATTCCTTAACCATGGGTTGTTGGAATGGAGTTGGAGCAAACCCCAATCCTTTACAAAGTCCCAATACAGTTGGTATACAGTTGCAGCACTTGACATGAGTACAACTAGGCAAAACCATCCCACACTTTTCTCTTTTTCATATGCCACTTTTGCCCCTGCTGCCAACATGGCAGACACATATTTTCCTAGGTTGACAAGGTGGCTTTTGTCCCCTTCGTCCAGCCAACGTCTGGCACACTGCAATTTACAAGTCAACATTATGTTACATTAGTTGTGTCCCAATTATATCTCAAAACCATATGTAGTAAAGGGAAAATGATAAAGATTAAACTCCCGCCACATGTCCTAATTTTATTTGTTCTTGTGATCCACTTTTTTTTGGGTGATGAGAGAAATTCGCAACCACTTTCAAGGGTATACGCTTTGACCCTAGCTCACAAATCAACTTAGGTTGTCCATAACTAACTTGCTAAAAAAAAAAGGCGGGCCCGCGGGCCTAAGGGGGCGGGGCTGACCCTCCTTAGGACTGCATTTTGGCGGACTTTTAGCCCATTCCGCCACACAGGCGGGCTTTGGTGGACCCATCCCGTCAGCCCGCATTGACATTTCTAAACCTTGTGGTTACCAAGTCAACAACCTAACTATCTTGGCTGGAGTTGCCCCTAACCTGACCCATTTTTTTTAAAATTAATCTGAACATGCCACTCAGTTAGAGTAAAAAGTGGGAGTCCATATATATAGGATTGCCGGGATGAAAATTGCAAACTGAAAAAGAATAAGAGAGTGGTGGAAACCTGCATGGCTCTCCAATAGTAAGGAAGGAAGGAAACTGCATAAGCCAGATCTCTATAGTACTTGGTCCTCATGCAATATCCATAATCTTGATTTTTGTAGCTTCCAGTAACATAGTAGCATGCTACATACTCCAGGTCTCTCAGCAATGGAATCTGTTTATGGGCAACACATATTATCACTAAGAATCTTTTTTTTTTTTACTTCAGCCCAACAAAAATATAGTCGAAAGTTCGAGTCTTAAGCTCACCTGGCTACAAAGTTGATCAGCCATGAAGAAATCCACCATGACAACCTTGTACAAAGGTGACAGAATGATGTTCCTCATCACACAGAGGAACCGGTACCGGGTTGATTTGTAGATGATGTTGAAAGGGCAGATCAATAACAGCAGAAAGCCCTGAAAAGAGAAAAAAAAGGGATTTTGTTTACTAATTCAAGATTTTTAAAGAAATGAAAAAAATATAATTTAATTAGAAAATTACCAGTAACAGAAGGGCAGGGATGGCCTGAACTTGTGTGAAAGAGTAGCCTTTTGCCACAAGTGAAAGGTGAACAAACAATACACCCACAACAACACTCATTGAAGTTGTGCAGATCAAAAACACATCTCGGTACTTGAGTTCTTTTGTCGGGGCTAACTCGAATATGAAGCCGTAGTTTATCCTAGTCTTTCTCCACATGAAGATGTTGCATCCATACAGAAAGATGTGCAAGAACAGTAGGCTGAACATGCTGCAGAAATCGAGAGTATTGCTCAGAAATTTGGAAATTTTGAGGTTCTTATTATTCTGGTTTTTGGTTTAAATGGATTCTTGCCTTAGAACAGGATAAACTGTTTCCATGTAGACGGTATCTGATTGCCGTTGTGTGTACATCCCAGTCATATGAGCCATGATTATGTATCCAGCGAATAGCGCTATGAAACATCCTGTGAATAAGCCTGAAACATAGATGGAACAAGATCATTGGACTGTCCAAATTGATGAGGGTTTTGCAGAAACATAGATTATGTTCTTGTCTCAACTGTTATTTTACTCTCCTCTCCGTCTTCTGTTACATTGTTTTAAAGTCAAAATTAGACACACATACCCGGACAAAAGAAGCACTGTACTATATAACAGTAATGATTTTATGTACAGAAATCAGGTCTTGTTATGTCAGTTACATGACAAAACATGTATAGTTTAAAGGTCTTTATAATGGCACACAACAAGGTACAAAGCCCCAAAGAAGCCTAAACATGGAGGCCTTTTGTTAACATTATTAAGGTAGTTTTTTTTGTTTGTGGTCAATTACATGATAGTGGCCTTAGCAATGAACCTTTCTCTTTTCTAGTTTTCTTTAATACCCACCTCCCTTAAAGTGGACCCTTAGCTTTTCTTCAGGTTTTGATTTTAGTGGCTGATTCAAGGTCTACTTGCATTAGGGGCCTGTCCTTTCGATCTTTTCATTTAAAAAAAAACAAAACATTTCCCTCCTATTGGTCTGACCTATTGATCTTCTTGGTTTGAGTCAGTCTCTATGGGCAACCTAGGCTGGTTTACCTCGTTGTCTACAAGGCAGGGTTTACTCAGTTCACATCCTCGGATAGTGACTGCAGGTTTTCCTCGTCACTCAAAACAAAACATTTCGTAAAGATGTTTTCTTGAAAGCTTAGTTAAAATTATGTCAACTCTAAAAAAGAGAAATAGTTACCAATGAAGAAGGTGATAGCATGAGACTCCTTTTTGAGAGTAGGTTTTAGGTATTTCATGGCTTTTCTTCTGTCATCTTCAGCAAAGTGTTTGATGAAAATCTGCTCAACCTCATCAGCCAACTTCACAGCCTGTAAAAGAAAATGGGGAATGTGCATGAGACAAGCATATCTTTGGTTGATGAATGCAAATCTAAAGCCATTTCATCATCCAGTGTGGATGTGCACTCTTCTTTGTACTACAAACATGAGCAGTTGGTTTTGTCTGAGAATAATCTTACTATGATGATCATGATGGATTGATGGGACAACCATACTTGTGCACTCCACAAATCCATTCATCTCCCAATCACACCAAATGTCATGTTGTTTAGTCTGTGTTTTTTTTTGAGTACACTCACTCTGTTACAATGCAGTAGCTGTTCATAACTACTTTCTTAACCTACTGAAGCACAAAGAGTCAATATCGCCTCCACTGAGGCTCGAACCCACAACCTCCCATATGGGAGAGCAACTTGGTGTCATTAGACCACAAAGTCCTTAGCCACATATTTTACCATGAAATCCCACTTCTTTTTGTCAATCCCATTCATTATTCGTTCTAGTTCTAGTCCTATCTCGTGTATCTTATCCAGAATAAAAAAGATGAGAAACTTGAAAAACACTAAACTATCTATCTATCCCAACAAACACCCTCAACAGCCAAGGAACACCCAACCTATCTTTAGGTAAAATCCTCGTAAGATTAACGGGAATATAATCCTATCCAACACTCGCAAACCCTAATAATGTTCAAGGGACATCTTGACAAGAAAATCTGTGGTCCTACTTTATCTCGTGTATTAAATAAGTATAAGTGCTATTGTTATTGGAGTCTGTGATAGTATTGAATTTGAAGAATTTGCGAATAATTAATTTATGGTATAACTATGATATGGTAATAATTTGTGAATACTTTTTTGGTTTTTTGTTTTTACCTTGTCTGAGCTGTTGAAGTGGGAGTTCTCAACCACTCTTAAATAAATGGGGAGAACTTGTTTGTTAGTAACCTGTGTGGACAAAAAAAGCAGTAAAAAAGTAAAAAAGCTAAATCCCCATGATAAACAAAAAAAAAAATAGAAAGCAAGTGCATTATACTAGAAAGTTTTCCCCTTTACCCCTCACTTACTTTGTCAAATTTCTTCAAAATCTTTACAAAAGCAAGCATGTTCAAGTTCCTGTAAAGATTTCAATCACAGCAAAAAATAAAATAAA